ACTTTACCCAGCAACGATAAATTAATCATGTTATTCATATGTTTGGCTGACTGCTCATGTTTCACTATTTTCTGTGGCAAATGCCTCAAGTCAGTCACACCACTTTTCGTCCATGCCGAGTCCCCATCAAACAATAAGCATGGAAAGCAGAATAAAGTATTTGCCTCGTCACAACCACAGAGCCATTCACATTTCTGATAAACACTGATGTTAAACTGGCGTGTATATTCTTTGTTCCTGCTTGTACTGTTCTGTTGAATGGATAAAACTGGTGTAGGTCTTCCTCTTGCTTTGATTTCAGTCTTTTCATTTAATGTCAGCTGGGAAAAGTTGATGTTTTGCAAATACTTCACTCGATTTTCCATCGTCAAAGGGTAATTAAAGAAAGCACGATTTAACCACACCGTCCACACGTTGTACGAGACTGAGCTGCTTCAAGTGCGGCGGCGGCGCCAATTAATAACAGACATGAATCGTACAGCATTGACAGCAACTATGAAAGTAACTTAAATTTTGGTCTGATTTTAATGAAAATTCACTTAGCAACGTATTGAAAATAATTAAATAACATATTAAATGATATATTTGTTGGTAGTGTATTATTCAGCTGTCTCTCTAAAGGAATCATACGCCTGGCAGTGAGTGTCTGGGGGGACTGCAGCTCTGCAGCCCTATGCACGAGCCGCCACTGATATATATATATATATATATATATATATATATATATATATATATATATATATATATATATATATATATATATATATATATATATATATATATATATATATGTGTGTGTGTGTGTGTGTGTGTGTATGGCATCCAGAAAATTGTGATGTGACTTTCTGCCTCATTTACACACAATTGTCTCATTATTTTTGTTTCTCTTACTATTAACACAACATACTCATTCTTGATTTGGTTTAATTTATTTATGACTTTTTATTATTATTATTATTTATAATTTGTATTGGTATTATTAATAATTTATTTTATTATACGTTATTTAATTTTATTAATTTCATTATTTTCATCAGTGTTATTATTTTATTTAATTTTCGCCCCCAGGTCTTGACGTTGGTCATTATAAAGAACTGTGCCCGGGCAGACTAATGCCCGTAAAATATATATATATATATATATATATATATATATATATATATATATATATATATATATATATATATATATATATATATATATATATATATATATACTGTATATATCCTACGATCATAAATCACCTGTATTGCGCAGGGCATGAAGGATGAGGGAAATTTCGGGGTAAAACACGGTGAAAAACTGATCATATGAGTATGACACTAAAATGATGCCTCTGCGTGCTTTGTACGTTAAGAAATTAATTATTTACTGTAAATACGCCTCCGAAAAATCTGCAGTTACCGCGTGTCGTCTGTTTACAACCTACCTGCTCGGTTCCAGTGTACACTAATATAACGTCCAAAAAAAAACGTACAATTACACCATGACGCTTCAACAAATTTGCTTTCATTGGTACCAGATATCAAAATAAATACTTTGTTTAATATGGTGCGGAGAGCGGAACCCCCAGGCTAGGAAGTTAGTTAAAGTTAGGTAGGTTTCTTTGAGTGTTTAGGTCAGGTTCTATTAGGTTCTGTGCAATGTCGTGACTTTTTATAACTTACTATCATCCAAAGAACACCTGTAGAAAAAAAGGAACGAAATCTAATAACTCATTCTGGTGGTAGTGCTGTTCCCATACATTGCCAAACAATGAAATGCCAGAAGTCCAAAATGAGGTGAAAAAGTTTAATGAAATAAAAGTGCAGAAATTTTATTTTTAACACTAGTTAGGCTACATATTTGTTCTTTCCTTTTTAGACACGGTGTAAATATTTAGTATTTGTGAACATCTAACTTACTATTGAAAATAGGTTTTTATTGTGTAATTCATAGTAATTCAGTGTTACGCATATGACGTTCATTGCCGTAAGAAACGAGCCGTTATGGAGATACTAAATAAAATGAGGGTAAAAAACGCAAATTGACGAAACCTAACCTAACCAGAAATACCCCCTTTTTTTTTTTACGGGAATTAGGCCACCCAGGCACAGGTCACTAACCCACATCGGGGCCTAGGGGGCGAAAATGTAATAATAATAGTAATAATAATAATAATAATAATAATAATAATAATAATAATAATAATAATAATAATAATAATAAAGAAATACAAAATGAAAAAAAATCAAAAGTGAGAAACAATAGATGTATGTTGTGTTGTCACTATTAAGAGAAACAATTAAGACCCTGCAATTGTGTGTAAATTGAGACAGAAAGTCAGATAAGCAACCTGGGACTTGGTCACATATGGCAGCAGGGTCTACCATTAGACAATACATTATGCTTCCAATATCTTCCCAGGCGGTAGTACCTCCGTTTGGTAGCTGCCTACTACCTACTAACCTAGCCGCCCTGTGTGCAAGAAACTTACCTTGAAATGCACAGAAAATCCTCACTGACCAGATCTCTCTCTCTTCGTCAGTGTCCCTCTTTTACCACAGTAACACGTGTAGCGATCTACACGGCACCGACACTCGAATCAAATCTCGAACACTTTAATAAAGAAACGAGAACACCGTGAGCCCAGAGTCAAAGGTTGCGACTTCGTTCTCCAAGACACGCCGTCAGCCGCAGTACATCCCGCGCACACAAATGTCGTCCTTCAACTGGCCGCTCCTTCAGACTAGTGATTGGCCAATGAAGAGTTTCAGTGTCACTCGACTCTCGCGTTACATCGACACTCACGCTGATTGGCCGAGTTACAAGTAAATGTGGGAAAATGGAAATAAAATATAAAAATTAATATAACTCGAAAATTATAAATTTCCTACGGAAACGCGAAAGAATAAATTATTTTTAGTGTTTTTCCCTCCATCCCCTTACATATAAGAAATATATAAGATGTTGGCACTACTACATATTTTATCCCTATGAAAACCTACTTAACCTTACCTAACATTCTGCCAAATATGGCAGTGAGTCCGGTTATGGGATTAGGTAGGCTTCTTTGGATGGGTTGAGTCAAGTTCTGTTAGGTTCTGTGTGTTCTCATTTTCATTTTCGTGTTCAGTATCATGAAAATTGTATCTCCAAAAACTTTGGTTCATTGCCATAAGTTATTTCTAGTGCTAACCATCATTCTGGTACCAGTGCAAGAAACCTAACTTAACTTGAGATAAGTAAACGGTCTTGATGGCCTCCAGGAGTGGTGAAACCTGTCTTTTTCGTGGTGGAATCGTCTTTTAGAAAGAGATTCCGCAAGATATCCCACAGTGTTCACCATGGCGTCCAAAACGTGGGATAAGTGCCCTTATATCTCTCAGTGTTATGTGTATGGGCACCAGTATCCGGATCAACATGTTCTTAATGTGATTAACTGTTGAATACTGGTACTCTTTCCAATACTCAGTAATTATATGGGTCCCTGGAAGTGCCCACTCTTGAATAATTTCTTACAATGTTTCTTTGGCCCTCGTTTCAACAGGTATGAGAAACATTTGTTTACTGCCACGGTGAATTTCTCCTATAATTCACTGCCCTGTCATATTTTCGTTTCCCGAATATTACCTAGTCACTCTCAACGCCGCTGACATGACTGTGGGGTATGAGATTGTTTGGTTCACACTCAGGATGGGTTGGAGAAAGGAAACTCACAATGTGCTCTCTATATACATGTTGTATTGGATGTACAATGCAGCTTGGTGCTGGGAAGGCAGCATGGTTACAAACGTGATGTAGAGAGAGCTGGTTGGTGAGGACGCTCAGAGAAGGACAGCTTGTGGGTCGCCATGCTCGCCGGCGGGAGAGAGGACCGCCAGGCAGGCGGAGGAGGAGGAGGTGTTGCTGGCTGCGGCTGTAGGTAGAGAGATCCACTATATGACCACCCAACTTCACGTTGGTGGAAGTACAGAAGGATGCAACCACTTCCCGACAAAAAGAGAACCAATCAATCATTGTTTGTCTTTGTTTTTGTCTAGACTTCATGGAGAACGTGGTCAATATTTCTTTTACTTACTTTTACTTTATCCTTTTCACCACTGAGCGGCTCGTTAGCCGCTTGGACGATCGGTTAAACAAGCACATTAACACTTAACTTACTTTTGGAAAACATTTGTTTTTCTTTGATTTGAAATGAAAATTAAGTATACACAAGTACCACTGAAATCACTTTTCTCGAAGCCGCATTGCGAAAATTTTCGTTTTTTTTGTGCTCGTATGAATAAGATCGTTTGTTACAGACAAATATTTCCTGTTTAGTGTCAGTTCGCTGCCACACTTAAAGCATTTTACACATCCTCCTAACTAGTCCATGTTCATAGATGAACTCTTGTAAACAGTCTTTATCCTCCACAAGGATAATTAACTTCCAGTATTACATAACCCCGCAGTGCTACCGCCATAAGACAAAAAAATCTCATTACGCTAAAATCTATCCGATAACCAGCCAAAAAGCCGCTAAACCAGCTCTAAAAATCATCTAAATTTTATGTGTTGTAGGAGCCTTTATTTTGTAATTAAAATAGTTGCTTTATGTAAAAATTTGGCATGTAGTGCATTATTATTATATGAAAACATGTGATATGTATTGTCTAGCTAGAAGAAGCTTGAAATCTTTTGACTCATTTTGTGAGTGAGCTCAGAATATGCCCCATTTGTACCTTTAAAATACCATTTCAACTATAGTATTGGGATTTACAAAGTGTTATATTATATGACGAGTTCTTCATGTTTGTGTTATTTGAATAAAAATTAAAATTGAAAAGCAACTAACATTCAATTAATTATTTTCAGGCATCCGTAATTTATACTTTTACTCTATTCCTTTTTAGGCTAGTAATTTTATATTCTATTCGATTAGTATTTTCGACAAGTAATTCTACTTTCACTCGATTACAAATTGTTAGTAATTTGCAACAGAATCACGAAAAAAGTCTATATTGAGGACAGCAAGTGAGGTCCTACCCCCACCCCTCTCACCATAACAATAGTTAAAGTCCTCTTCCCCGGATGACCAGACCTAAAACCTACCTAACCTTACTAACTTCCAAGCACCCATAGAAAGTTCGGAACCCCCACAATATTAAACAGAAAATATTTATTTTGATATGTGGTACCAATGAAAGGAACTTTGGTGAAGCGTCATGGTGTACAGGTAATGTAATTTTATAATTTTAGTGGACGTGAGAGTACTGTACACTGGGAACGAGCAGGGTGGGTGTAGGCAGACAGACAACACGCACTGATTCGGCTGTTTTTTGGAGAAGTAATTACTGTAAATAATATTTTTTTTTCACGTACAAAGCACGTAGAGACATAATTTTAGTGTCATATAATCAGCTTTTCACCGTGTTGTACCCCGCAATTTCCCCTATCCTTCATGCCGGGTCCGACTAATTACCCTAATGTAGCCACAATGAAGTCAAATAATGGTCCTACATGAATAAATCGGACTGCCAATCACTTCTCGACTTGTATTTGGTGTCACAAAGTAAAAAAAAAATGGAAAATTTAATTTAATCTGAGTTAATAGATCGAGTGCATGTACCTAACATAACCTAACCTAACCTAACACAACACAACTCAGATTAAATTAAGTTTACCTATTTTTTGTGACTATGACACCAAATAATAATCGAGAAGTGATTCACAGCCCGATTTACGCTTGTAGAACCATCATTTGACTTCATTGCGACTACATTTGGGTAATTACTCGCTCCCTCGGTACATGCACGCGATCTATTAACTCAGATTAAAGACTCAGATTAAAGTAAGTTTTCCAATTTTTTGTGACTTTGTGACACCAAATACTAGTCGAGAAGTGATTAGCAGTCCGATTTATTCATGTAGGACCATTATTTGACTTCATTGTGGCTACATTTTGCTACTTTTGGGTGCATTTAGGTAATTAGTCGGACCGTTCATGTCCAACCCACTACAGGTGATTTATGATCATAGATAGAAAACTAAAAAAATAAATACTTACAATTAAAATAAAAAGTTGTTGCCTCTTAAAATATTTACTTAAATGATAAGAACGTCTGTGGAAAAAATGAACGAAATCAAACGGTTCCCCTTGGTGGTAGTGGTTTCCTCATAAATTACAGTACCAACATAATATAGGTATCTAACCAAACCTACCCACTGAAAGTAGGTCTATGTTTAAGGGTAAATGTATTAAAAACTAAGCATTTGTGCAAGAAATGTTACTCTTAAATATCTATTTATAATTTAAAAAATATGGTACACTGTATTTAGGGTAGTCAGAAACACTAGAAGAGGAATGGGTGAAAGATGAATATTAACTGTGCTTCTTGTTAGCAAGAGCTTCCCAGTGACTGACCGAATGCTAAGCAGCAGAATGTTTTCCCACAATCTTTCCATACGAACTAAAATTTTAACACCTTAATCAAACCTAACATAATCCGGAATTGTACATGCATATTGAAAGGGTAATACTGGGAAGCATTTGTATGTACCAGCAAACTAATGCTGTATTGCAAAGAATTATAAATCCTTTTCCTTTATTCATGGCTTCATTCATAAAAAATGTCTAAATTTGCTGTTTTTTATTGATCACTTCATATTTAAAACGGAAGTGTTAATGTTTGTAAAACGTTCTTGCTCACGTAAACCGTTGAAGCAGTTAGAAGATGGATATGGGAGTGGCGCAGCATTTTTTTATAGCAGGAAAAATAGAAAAAAGACATACCAAAAGTGAAATTCCTCCAACTGATTTGGCTTATTCATGAGTTCAGAATTAAGTTTTCTTCAATAGACCTTTTCTTTAGGTAGCTACAGTAGGGTAAATTTGCACTTGCACACCACACTCTGTTAGAAAGTAAAAAATATATTTTTCTAGTGTATTTGTGTGTTTAGACTGAATATGACCTTCATTTCTGGCGGAAATTAGCCGGGTTTTTTTATTTAATTATTTCGTTGGACGTTTTCCGAAAAAAGTAATGGCTAAGCGAATAAAAAATACACCAAAAAACACTAGAAAAACAAAAACCTAACCTAACCTAACCTAACTGACTCTCACCATATGATGAAATCACCTCTTTCTTACCTTATTGGCCTGTAAGGGACGAGTTATGACAACGCCACATATGTTGTTCTTTGCAGTATTTACATTCAGTCTTGCTCTTAGGACACTTTACCGAGGTTGGAAGAACACTGTGCGATCGAAAAAATGCTATAGTTTCTTCGTTTTTTCCCCAAAACTCGCAGTCGGCTCCATATAATTGAAGTGACACCCTTCGCAGACTTCCATGGTCAGAAATGAATTTGAATTTCGAAATATGAGAGACCCAAAATAAAACTCGATTTTGATTGGGCCAAAAATACAGCGAATTAAACACAAAATCATTTTAGTTGGTTGCAAAAAGAAAAACGCTTTTGATTGGCCGCGTGACGTGTACGGGAACGCATGCGCGTGATGATTTATGAAGGAGACATGCAGTGTGGGAGGTGAGGTAGGCGATAATGGCGCAAGATTAATGGAAGAAAATAGAGAAAATTTTGGATACGCTTTCTCCGTTATTATACATTTTTGCCGGTAATGTAGTAGATGAAAATTATCTTATAATTAGACGTCTTAATCGAATATGATAATAAATTAGTGGTAGGAATGTGTGGTGTGTAAATGCAATAATACCTACAGTAGTTACCTGGGCCCATTTAGGTAAGTGATACTATATATTAATATTGTACTGTGTGTGTGAAAGAACACAAAACCAAGCTTTTTTTGGCATAAGTTGCCTTATATGCTGTAGCTAAGGATGTAACTAATTTTTTATGCACTCTCTCTGATGTTAAGCACTGTATTCAAGATAAGAACTGGCGCATGTTTCTTACAATATTTCTGTATGCAATATTTTCTTCATAAAAATTTTCTGAGGTCCTTTTTAGAACACTTAACACACCAGTGCCATCCTGATGTTTGCTTTAGGTCACTTTAAGTAGGCTTACCATGAGCCCCGATTTGACTGGGACTATTGCAATATTGAACATGTCCCAGCTAGTTTGTGATTCTGTCCTGGAAAAATCAAATCAAAAAGGTTAGGAACTATACAGTACAACATTTTATGGAAAATATGAGGACTTTGTTGATGTAGTATGGTACTTTATTTATTTATCAATAGTTGCTTATAATTTATTACAAGATACTGTACTGTACTGGAGAATTTTCCACTCATGACATTCTCAATAATCCCTCCTCGTGTTCCTATGTTGCAAGGATTGACTGTACACGTATACAGTACCTTAGGTATGTACAATTGTACTGGGCCTGAATATATGCATTCTCAGCCCATTACATGCTGACCCACCTTTGATGACTACAAACATGTTAACAGCTGCTGCTATGCCTCATTTGTTCTCTGATATTACACAAAGTTATCTCAGAACAATGCCTCGGTAATGCACATACTATCTTATACTGTACTGTACTTGTATTGCTGTATTACTGTGATTAGAAACCTGATTGTATGAAATACAGTACAGTATTTTCCTCTGAAAATCAGAAATATGGCCATATTAAATACTGTATACAGTATTCCAAGAAAGAGTACAGTATTTCAAAAGTTAAAACTTTATTATTAAAACTATTTTGGGAGTTCAAGAGGAAGCCTTAGACCCTTTGGCATGGTACAGAATGTAGTGATATGTCAGGATGTAGGGGAGTATGGTATGTCCCTGTGTAAAATAATTAAGAGTATTATTTATTTGTTTATTATTTTGTAAATACATTATAAATGATTTTCCAAAGAATAAAATTAATTGTACTGTATATTACTGTATCAGTTTATACTGTATATCCATATGCCTTTTTGTCCTGGATTGGTTGCATGAAAATATGATATCTTTTATAGTGACTGTCAGGTCCTTGTCATAGGAAATTACATTTTTAATATTCTAATTGAGGTTTAACATTATTTTCTTTTCAGGAAAATGGATAAAACAAAGAACCATAAAGCCCTGTTTACATGTCAGGGCCAAAACCAAGTTGAAAATGACACCAAGAAACATAACTTAAACAAGATAAGTAAATTTGTTGATGTAGATTTGGACATTTTCGATGATGAAGATGATGACATTCTTGCCCAAGCCTGTGATAACAGTGAGAAGTAAGTTGAAGTCTGGTAGATACAATAGTTACTATTTCATTCTGCTACCAGATGTAGGATTGTTGAGATCAGTAATCTTAAAGGTAAAACAGAGGGCTTAAAATGTTGGAAGTTTTAATTAATGTACCCCAATATATTAAAACAGGAAAAATAGACTAACAAAACCCAACCTAATTTAGCAAACTCTTTTTAAAATTATTAGGTTTGGGTAAATTAATTTGGGTGGTTTGGGCTGTTTTAAAAGATTGTGTCATCAGTATTCGCCTAAGATTAGATTTGGAAAGCTCAACATTTTACCCTTTTGATTTGCTGTTCGACTGTAATCAAACAAAACATAAATGCTAATACACAGTGTTCAACTTTTCTCTGCATCTTTCAAAATAATTTCTACTTTGCTGGTGCACCCCTCAACACTCCCTTTTCTACAGAATGAATGTCACAAATATTGGAGGAGCAGAGCACACATCTATGGGTCATGGCTCAGAAGCAGCGAAAGTGTTGCCCTATGCATCTGTACCTCAGTCCACACCTCTAGAATCTCTTCCTGGTTTTGATGCAGAGGCTGGTCAAACATGGGTCTACCCTATTAACTATCCAATAAGGGAATACCAGTTTTCTGTTGTTGAAGAAGCATTATTTAAAAATACTCTTATCTCACTTCCCACAGGTAAGCACAACTGAAGTACAGTAATCTCTCCATTAGCTGAAATAATTAGTGCAGAGCAGTTCCTGGTTTGAGAGATTTCTTAGTGTTAAGACAAATTTTCTCATCCATGAAAAATATTGCACATCCCCGGAAATTTTCCGGGCACTTGTGAATGCTTCTGCATTGGACAAACTCAGATCTATATTTATTTATGCAACTACTGTGCATGTACAATATATACATATTGTAAGCAAACAAAATACATGTATACTACTGTATACTGCTCTCACCAGTAGATGCTGTCATCTTGAGCTTGTGATGCAGGCAGACCAAATGGTGATATGAAGATGCAGGATGGCCTGCCTTTGTCCTGTACCATCTGTAGCAGGTGTTGCTAACTGTCACTCTCTTCTCCCTCCAATAAGGAGGGATTGTACATGCATTTATGCTGTACATACTCCCTCTACAGTCTACACACTAGCATACACTGTCCACTCTGATATCTACAGTACTGTATGTACTGTACAGTACTTTCACACTTACTGAATGTACAGTACTGTAATCACTTTTTACATCTAAACATTGCTTTAACATTATTCTTGGCTGATTAAATCCTGGTATAGTAATACCGTATGCATTACTGCACAACACAGAGCGTATGTGAAAACAGCAGTAAGCGAGTGAACAAGCTTATACAATGTTAGCAGACAATGAACTAAGTGTCATGATGCAAGAGTTTGAGTAGATAAAGCTGTAAGGTACATCAGCAAATCATACATCCCATGCAGTCATTTAACATAGTAGCCAATTGTAGCTCAGGAGCACTCTGAGCCTACCCGCCCACATGCTCGGCACGTGATGGCGCATGATGCAATCTCTCAGAAATTCGGTCAAATGCCCAGAACTGAAAGATTTATCCTGAATTTCTCAGAATACTAAAAATATTCTGGGTTACGGAGAGTTCCGGGGATTGAAGATTCCGGCTAATGTAGAGATTCCTTTGTACTGTATGCTGTTTATTAATAAATATCTAGATTGGTGTCTAAACATTTAGAAATACTGTAACTTATTTTAAGATTGGCATAATGATTACACTGTAGTAGCATATGTTTATACAGGTCATGTTTTTTTAGTTGTTCACCTTCATCTTTGTAACAGGCTTGGGGAAAACATTTATAGCTGCTGTTGTGATGTATAATTTCTATCGTTGGTACCCAAGAAGTAAAATTGTGTTCATGGCACCTACCAAACCCCTTGTGACTCAGCAAATTGAAGCATGTTACAACATTATGGGCATCCCACAAAGTGATACATCACAAATGACAGGTAAGGAGAACTTCTGTTATTCTAATAAAAGTACATGTCCTGTAAATATTGAAACATTGCCGTTGGATAAGGCAAGGGTTTATCATATTATTTACTTATTCTTCTGTTTAGTATTGTATTATTCACACTGGAGCTGCACTTTAATTAACCACACTTAACCAAAGTGTCAAACACAAGATTTTCAATCATATTCTTAGGGCATATAGGGTTTTGCAAAGTGGCTTTGGGGATATTACTTGTACCTCAGAATTTCCCAGGGAGAGCCTCCCATGACCAGGTGGTTGTGTGCATTCTTAGACAGATGAGACTTTCTCTTTTGATTGAGACAAAGGTTACCTGTCAGACAACCACTCAGGTAAAAATAATTCTCTCGCTCCTCCATTTTAGTAAAAATATAACCTAAAGCTATTGTTCCTGGCATGGATATTTGATATTCCTCCAGGTAACACCTTTGGTGTGGAATGTCAGGTAGTCCCATCTGTTATAGAGCATTTTTTCCCAGCTGAGAAAAGATGCCCCGCCCCCTCCTCAAAAGTTACAGCTGATTGGCTGTTGCAAACCTGTCCTATTTTGTCCTGAAGTAATGATGTATTTCTAAATGAGTTTTTTCATAATCGTTGGAATGACCGTTTGTGACGAGAAAGATATTTATCTAATTTATAAAAAGATATATACAGTACATTCATTATTTCAAACATAAGCACGTAGGAAGTTTATCAGAAGTATTATACTGTACATGAATTAACTGTTAAAACTCTGGTAGCAAATTCACACTTTCGGAGGATGCATTTAACATACAGTATACTTATTTTTACCCACAATTAGGCATACTAAGACAAATTACGTATCATTAATATTACATTATGGGAACACATCTTAAAAGATCAGAATCACATTGAAATATTACACGATCGTTAGCAGAGGCGGGAAATGTGACTGCGAACAACTTAATATTTTTCCCGCCTCTGCTAACGGTCGTGTAATGTTTCAATGTGATTCTGATCTTTTAAGATGTTGTGTTTGCATAATGTAATATTAATGATAAGTAATTTGTCTTAGTATGCCTTATTGTGGGTAAAAATAAGTACAGTCAGTTCTGCTATAACACGATAGTTGTGTTCTTGTAAAATATTGTGCTATAGAAAATCGCGTAATAGAAATAACAGGGCTTATGGAGAACATAGGGTTAGGTGCAGATTACTACTCGAAATCGAAAAAAATTAGCAGTTAGCCAAACACAAAGGATAACACAGTCTAAATAAATGTTACATTCATATCTAATAATGAAATCGTACAGTAAATGTAACACTTTACCTTGAAAAAATATGAATATAACTTGATGGGGGAGAAGGGTGATTTTGAGGTTGATAACATCGAGCTTCTCTTCAAGTGTTATATCCTTTCTTTTACGATCATCACTGGGAATTCAATCACCAGAACGCTTCTTGGAGATATTCTTCTTTACCATATTCACAGTTAGTACCACAAAATTGGAGAAATAGTAAGCAAAAATCGCTTTACAGCAAACAAGCGTTTGTGTTATACAAATATTGTTCCTCTATTCATAAATCGCGTTAGAGCCAATTCGCATTATCAAAACACGCGATATAGCAGAACTCAATGTATATATTAAATGCATCTTCCGAAAGCGTGAATTTGCTACCAGCGTTTTAACAGTTAATTCATGTATAATCCTTTTGGTAAACTTCCTACGTGCTTATGTTTGAAATAATGAATGCATTTATCTTTATATAATTTAGCTAAATATCTTTCTTGTCAGAAACGGTCATCCCAACGATTTTGAATAAACTCATTTAGAAATACATCATTACTTCAGGACAAAATTGGACAGGCTTGCAACACCCAATCAGCTGTAACTCTTGAGGAGGGGGCGTGGCATCTTTTCTCAGCTGGGAAAAAATGCACTATAGTCACCTTCATGTACTAGCTGGTGAGTATGTCAGTTATTACACTTATGTTTATTTATACTTGAAGTACTGCTGAGTGAACATTGAGTCACAAGCAGTAAGGCACTGAGTTTATATAGGTATCCCACCAACTGGCACCTTATGAACTGGATATGGATAATTAGTAATCCACCAATTCAGAAACACTTGTAACTGTTTTGTAGTTTCAGTTGGAGCTCATTGTAATCTCTGTTTGTACTGTAGTTCTTTCAGAGTACAGTACTTAATGTTCACACAAACACTATATGGCTTTCTTATTTATTTACCCAAATATATGCACACTAGAGTACCTATACGTATTGTTGTACTGTACTGGAGAATTAACTGATGATAGGTAACTATCACTGAACGAGAGAATACAGGAGGTAATTTACAGAGCTCCCGTAACGAGTCTGTCGTGTGTGAGATACAGGAGTTTAACTCCACTGAAGGCTGGGCACTTGGTGATGACCTGTGCCAATCAGAGGTACCAATTGTCTAATTTATCTAGTTAACTCGCCCACCAGGTTCCAGGTGGCCAGCTGCACTCTCCCTTCCCCGAAGAGGAATATTAGTGGCAGTGTTTGTGGTGGTGAGAGTGAGAAAAAAAAGTTCATTTTGTGAGACTTTTGATGAAAAAGTCAAGATTTTCATAATTTTTCTGGTTCCAGGTTCAGTGGCTCCAGAAAATAGGATTAAAGCATGGACAGAAAAGCGAGTATTCTTTCTTACACCTCAAGTTTTAACAAATGATTTAGCACGGGGGGCTGCTCCAGCAACATTGATCAAGTGTTTGGTGTTGGATGAAGCTCACCGTGCACTTGGTAATCACGCATATTGTCAGGTGAGAAGCATTTCTCTTGTTGATAAATATAAGAAGGGTTCCCATTCATCACTGTGAATATTTTGCACTATAAATTGAACCAGTTGCACTCAAAATCTACAAACTAATGATCCATGATTAACTAATGGAATTGTTACTACCATGGATGATTATTTTTTTAAAGGGTTCTAGGACATTTTGTCACTGTCACTGGCTCAGTGTAACCCTAACCTAACCTAAGCAAGGCTTCATTGCCTCCAAATATTCATTATTATCTAATTTTGATACATATAACACAGTATTCAGTGACTGGTGACAAATTGTCCTGTGATGAAATGTCTTATGTTGACAAATCATAAAATTATAACCAACCTATCACATAACGATTGCTGTAATATACAGGTACAATACTGTATATTTAGCGAGCAAGTGCACCTTGAACCAATCTGTCAACTATTGAAAAACGCTCAAGATTTTGATCCAGTCCGTCAAACATTTGCATCCCCTTATTAATTGTAGCAAATGCCTCTGCCATTTGTTTCACTGAAAATTTTTTGGGGTTGCAGGTTCTTCTACATTTTGACTCTCTTCTTCCTCTGCAATTTTCTGTGCTTCCAGTTCAATAAGATCCTTGTTACTTAGCTCATCTGCTACACTTTCAACCAATGCAGTATAGTACTGTGTTGTATTCCTATACCTGTACTGTATTTACAATTTGGTGTTTTTATAATTACTGCATGATTTTATAAACACAATTACACTACAAGTAAAAGTCCAAAAATCCGGATGCCAGAAATCCGGACCACCCGAGAATCTGGACCTTTCAAAAACTCAAACTTTTTATTTTTTTTTTTGTTGGCTTTTGTGTGTATGTGCGCATGCATGAGCGCCACAACTGCGCAGTGACAACAAGTGACCATGAGGTCGCCACTTTAAAATGAGCAATCAAACTGTGACAACGTATGTAATTTTGAGTCCTACTCTTTACATTTACAGAGTACTGTACAGGCCCATAATAATGGTTCCTAAAGTAGATAAACTTTGTTGTGTGAAGAGAAAGAAGAACACGTTGAAATTGAGTGACAAATTTGAAATAATTAAGAAACTAGAACGTGGTGTGAGCAATACTGTTCTAATGGAAACATACGACATTGGAAAGTCTACAATTTATGATATAAAAAAGACAAAGAATAAAATTCTAGAATTCACAGCTTTTCTTTAAAACTGCTCATTTTGAAGCATGCTATATTTGCTAATGAATAAACTATCAAAATGTACCTGTTCATCTCTTCTTTAGTCCTCCTTAAATTTGAATTTTAAAAGTACTGCCTGAGAATCCGGAAAATCCGAAAATCCGGACCGACCCAATCCCCAAGCAGTCCAGATTTTTGGACTTCTACTGTATTTGTATAAAAATAAATAGTAACTTTGATCAAAAGCAGCATCAGAAATCTAGAATTGATATATGTAAACATTTATGGGTGGTTGACTGACAAGCTCACTGTGCCTAATTCACCTGGTGTCTGAGTTTTGAATAAATTTTCTTAATTGCATCCTTCATATTGTATGCTATATGGCTTTCTAATGTCCTGGCAATACTGTAGTCATAAATTAAAAACCTCCTGAGGGTCAGGGGCTGGGAAGGCAGCCACTTGGTAAACACCCAGCTCACTCATTAAGTTACTTATTACCAAGCAATTTACATAATTCTTCTATGCATTCTTACATTTATGACATGCTTGATTATTGTTTTAATATCATAAGATGTTAAAAATGGGTGTAGTTGTTGGTGGTGGTTAACTGTTGCAGGATGGTGATGGGTGGCAGGTGGTCAGATGACCAATGACCATGAGAGGGAGAATATACACACGCTTCTCATTGGCTGTTTTTTCTATATCATATGTAATTATAAGTCCTTCATGTCTTTATTTATATATATAAGTGTTTCTGAACGCAAAATCAGCACAAGTACAGTCCCCCCAAAATTCCTAGCCAGAAATTAATTCCCTCTTAATATATTGTTTCTTTTGGGAAATTGAATTTACATATCACAGTTTTATACATCACAAGACTTTCACAAACAGAACCCTTATAATAAACTAGGACTACATGTACTGTGTGTCACAAAATATCTTAAATAATATGACTGAAGATACGTATCCTTCATTACTACGATAATTGTGTTTCTATCTTGGTTATCTTTATCCCTTTTAGGAGTAACAACAGAAAATCTCAAATTTATTTTTAATTTTTTTATCTCTGTTATTACTCAGGTGGTCCGTGGACTTAGGCAGCATCATCATGATTTCCGTATTCTGGCTCTCTCAGCAACTCCAGGATCAGATTTGCAAGCTGTTCAGCAGGTTTGTGTTTTAATTCTTTACTGTTTGGTTTTCTTTTTAGTAACATATGTATTCTAGAGGAGGAACTGTGGGCTTATTCACCAACTATCCATAATGTTTCAGTAAATTTTGTGTCGTAACTTTAGAACTGTCCTCATGTGTTTCATCGGTGCAGGTTGCTCCAGAAAACTATATAAAAAAGATTAAAATTAATGTAGTGTTGTTAAATGTTTTCTTAGTTGAAATTTGGCATAAAAAATGTCCTACAGTGCAGTACAATACGCCAATGTACCTTAAATATTAAATCAATATAATTATTCTATAGCTTGAAAGTTTGTGCTATTTATAAACTGTACTGTACAATACAGTATACTGTATATAGTAGAGGGATATCCCTCTTATTGAATAAAATGTGTTCTACTTCATTTGAAATTGCTGTATGAAGCAAGTTTTCCCAATGAAATGCATGTGTTATTTGAAGATGAGCTTCCAGCCCAAGAATTTTAGCTTTATAAAGTATGGTAACATACTTAAAATGACAAAATACCCTGTAAACACGATTAGTAAATATTTTAAATACAGACAGGTTCTGCTGAATGAGCAATTTGCAATTCTGAAAAAGTTTTTGTTGGTCATTAGTGTGGTACACATGATCAAAAAAGTATTTGTGCACATATCGTGCGAAACAATCTGACACCACAGACGGTGGATATTGCAAAATATCATACAGTATATCATTTTCTAGAGACTTTTCCTATTTTATCCATAATAAGTATTGTTATTGTACAGTATGGAAATTCAGAAGAAAATAATTTAATCTTGTGAACAATATGTTGCATGGTTCATGTTGGTTACGTTGTCATATTTAGGAATCATCAGACCCAATGTGCATAGATACTTTTTTGATCGTGTGTACATATACATTCATACCTTTACAATTGGCAGTATATCACCTGTGGTACTGGGAGCATGTTGAAGTAGTGGCCGGAATGACAAAATTTATCACAAACCTTATATATTGCTAGGAAAAAAATTATTTTTCAGTACATTCCATACAGAAATTGTAATACTCGTATAGTGTACATTGGTGAGGAGCATCATCTCACAGGTGAACATATGCCTAGGTTGCAGTGCATTGTGGGTGTGACATCAGCTCACGAGAAGTTTAAGCAGGCGGAAACATATAATTACTACAATATCAGCAGTTTACTGCAAATTTTACTGTAATATGAAGACTATTGCTTTTGGGGATAGTTTAGTTAAATTAGATTTTGATATTTACTCTCTAAATTCTTACCAAGTACTGAACTGTAATTATAACCATTATGTGAGTGGTTGTTGTGTAAACAATGTTGATCACATGCTGGACCGCGCATTGCCTGTCAGGCCTCTAAGCTTCCAATTAACCAGGTTTTTCTTTATTTGCTTTCAAGTATTATTTTAACTTCTTTTTCTTTGTTTGTATATGTTAATTAACTTGGAGTGGAACTATTGAAAGATGAACAGGTAAGATAGAGAAGTGGAGGCTTGAGTCAGGTGGCAGGTATATGCAGTTACCAGCATCTTAGAGTTAAGATGATCGATCATTGAAACTACAGTACTCAGTTTATGTTTTCTTTTTTCACTAATGCACTCAGTACCATAATTTTTTCATTTGTTTTGAGATATATTAAGGGCAGCACACTGGATTAGAATGTACAATGCTTTCTGAGTAACAAAAGAGAGCTATGGACAGCACAAGTGTACAGCTTGTGCCATATCCAGAAAATAAATGCCCCCATATTGTCTTGGCTCATTGGCTAGCTACACTGGATGAGCCTACCACTAACTTCACCTCAGAGTATAGAAAACAATCTCAGCCAATGACAAAGTGGGAATAGCCTGACTCTACAAAGGATTATTCAAGCTGGTTCACTCAGAATTTCACTCATGAGCCTACGTGTACCACTAACTTCACCTCAGAGTATAGAAAACAATCTCAGCCAATGACAAAGTGGGAATAGCCTGACTCTACAAAGGATTATTCAAGCTGGTTCACTCAGAATTTCACTCATGAGCCTACGTGTACCACTAACTTCACCTCAGAGTATAGAAAACAATCTCAGCCAATGACAAAGTGGGAATAGCCTGACTCTACAAAGGATTATTCAAGCTGGTTCACTCAGAATTTCACTCATGAGCCTACGTGTACCAGTAACTTCACCTCAGAGTATAAAAAACAATCTCAGCCAATGACAAAGTGGGAATAGCCTGACTCTACAAAGGATTATTCAAGCTGGTTCACTCAGAATTTCACTCATGAGCCTACGTGTACCAGTAACTTCACCTCAGAGTATAAAAAACAATCTCAGCCAATGACAAAGTGGGAATAGCCTGACTCTACAAAGGATTATTCAAGCTGGTTCACTCAGAATTTTACTCATTAAATCGAATGCAAACTCGCTCATTAGATTTTCATACCCTAAAACATAAGCTTGCTAAACCAAATTCTTATTCAACAATTACTCATTCAGAGGACCTGCCTGTACAGAAGTGTATCTGTATGTACAATGGATGAACATTTTAATACAAATAAACAGTTAAAATATAAATACACACCCACCATCAGTGGAATAGACGACTTACATAGCTACTGTAGTTTCATAATTTACAAGAGTAGTCGGACACCTGCATGGGCCCTTGCAATTTTACTGTAGTTACACTATGTTGTGAATTTTTGGCAAGAAATAATTTTTGCAGATTGATGGTTAATAGTGATTATACAGTACAGTACATTGCTATTCTCAGAGCTTACATATCACTTATCATTACTGTACTCTGAAACTTGCATCATATAATCATTGTAATTTTTTTTTCAACTTTCCTTGCTCTCTTTCCTATCCACATTCCTTATACTGTATACCCATGTTTTCCTAGAAAATTTCTGGTTTCATCACAGTCCTGAGATGTAGACCCTTATTTTATACATATTGAAATAACTAACTATAGTGCCTAGAAATGCACAGGAAGTAAAAAAAATATTTTGGATGTGGCACCTTGCTTTGAACATGAATAAATAAGTTGAATATATGCTGCTCTGGTTAATTTTTTGGTGTTATGTACTGCTTAAATACTTTTACAACAAAAACAATGGTAAACTAAATACTGTAATAAAAAAATTATTTGTTCATCTGTAATTTTTGTTTCATTAACTGGTTGTATAATACAGCTTGAAAGGAGTGGGTCTGATCTAATCATTTTCCAATATGTCTCTCTCTCTTGAATACAATATTCAGGAATATTTAGCTCTGGAGGTTATAGTTAAAAGCATCATGCATTTATTTTCTTCTGACCTGTGACAGTTTTTTGCCTTTTCTGCCATACAATTAGAATTTAACTTTCTTTCACAATGGAAGGCTTCTTTAGAGATCGTACTAATTTTTACTTCCCTATACTGTAATGTATAAACTTGTTGCATTTTTATTACAGGTGTTAACAAATTTGATGATATCACATATTGAACTACGAAATGAGGACAGTCCAGATATACAGTCATATGTCCACCAGCGCAGTATTAACAAGGTGGTGGTTCCATTAGGAGAACTCCTCACAAGCCTCAAAACAAGGTTTCTCACTGTAAGTAATTACAGTACTGAAGTTATTTTATTTTGATACCCGGTATGCGCTATTTACATTTTAACCCTCAGTCATCAGGACTGTCACATATTTCTAATACTGTACCCTGTATACGTTTGTGGCTGCCCACTATCATGGAGAGCAGGATTCCACATCTTACGTCTGGCAGCTTCTCCTTTCTCCTGTCGAAAGGCTGTGGAAATGATCGCATTGCCCAGTGATGATTGCATGCCAGAAACTCCAACACTGACCTGATCCTGAATACTGTCATTAAGAAGATTAACCCTACTTCCCACCTTACCTCAGCTCAGGAAACAGGTTACCGTATGTGACCTGATTCCTTTGTTTTATGTCTTTACCCATTGCTTTGTTCTGTTAGTTGGCTGAAGAGGGTCCTAGTATACTAGCTCCAAGATTTCATTTTGTATTCCTCCAATGTGGGTTTTTGCTTCATTTACCTGTGTGACTATCACACTTTTGGAATATCATTTACTATTATCTGCTCACCTCGCAATATACTGTAAGTGTTTCATTTATTTATTACTGTATTATTTATATTATTATTACTGTAGTGTACTGTATGTACATTTAAAAAAAAAATATTTAAAGTTGCACTGTAATTATTAAGAATATTTTATGTGGCAGCCAAGGTGACTTTTCGGAACCGCTCAGTTATTTCGGATTCATTCCAAATTCATATCGTTTAAATAATTCTTGAAAACGCACACGAATTAAGACGAAAACCGAATTACAGTCAACCCTCGCTTTACGCGGTCCCATTTTACGAGTTTCCACGTTTACGCGGTACCCTGCCGAACACGGAATGCTCACTTTCCGCGATGTGTGTACCCTTTTACGCGGAGATCGGCGCGAGCAGGGTGCGCACAAGGTCGCCCAGTCATCAAAACATTACCGAGTTCTTCACCCGCCACCCACCACAGCCGGCCCAAGTCAGTGATAGTGATAATGATAGTGAGGATATGGACTTATATGGACTTTGAGGGGTTTGACAAAGAGGCCCTGCAAGCCTCTGTGGTGGATAGTGATACAATTGATACAAGTGATACAGGTGAGGGCCAATAATCTGCCCTCTGCCTCGGAACCAACCCTCCATCCCCGTGTACCCAGCCATCTTTTCTACTAATGTAAGTGTTAAAAAACCTAATATTATTGATATTTCTCTTAATTATTAATTGTGTGTGCATACCATCATAAAATTAAGAAGTTATTTTTACTACAACGTAGGTATTGTGTCTGAAAAAGTGGAGTTTGGGGGGTCGGCCCGGTCTCTATTTCAATTAATCCCAAATGTTATGTTGTTCACTTTACGCATTTCTCACTTTACGCGGGCCGCCGTGGGTTCAATTGACTGCGTAAAGTGAGGGTTCACTGTATGGCGATCCTAAATAATGAGGGTACATTGTATGTATATATATATATACAGTATATATATATATATTATGAAATTTTCATGTAAGATATAAAAAGATTTCTAATTAACATGAAATGAAAACTAAAAAAATAAATAAGCCATTTTTTTTCTAAAAAAACAGTTTTTGTGATGTATAGTCCAGAATGTGACGTCTAGCTTTATACCTAGGTATGTAAATGCCTAGCATTAAAGGAAAACAGAAGCCTTTTGTGGAACTCGCTTTGGAGTCTATTTAGGCATCAAAAGGGTTAATGTGCACAAAGGTTTTAATGTACATTCCTTATAAGTAAATATATCCTGAGTATGGAGGCTTAGTCTGTTATATGTACAGTATCACATACTCCAAAAAGTATTATCCAATTAATTTCAAAATGAACACTGACTCCTATTGTCTTAGCAGGGTTGTAAAAATTCTTCATCTGTTGTCATATTATCTATTATCAAATTGTAGAGATACTTTTTAGAGTGTGTGCACATGATGATGTGCCTTATTGATAGATACAGTACAGGAGTGCTTTGATTTACGAAACATCAATACAGTATACGAAAAGTCGCTGATACCGAAAAAAAAAATTTCTGGCACTTTGGTATACGAATGAAAACCCAGCTTTTACAAAAAAAAAGAAAAAAATACTGTATTTTTACATAACACCAGAAGATGCTTATTTGCTGACACAGGCAACTGAGAGTATCCCATGCTGAACACAGGCAGTAATCAGTGCACTGTACTGCAGTCAAGTGTGGGGCAACATTTCTCTGCTTATATATGTATACATATACAATATTGATAATGTGTCATATAAAGATGCTGCTGTACAGTACATTGATCCAAAAGTACGAAATGACTAACTGACCACCAAATAAGAGGCAGAAATTTTAACTGACTTCTTAAATTATGTTGATTTGGAGGAAGAAATTGATGAATCTATGCTTCTGTCACACATAACAACAAGAACATGACAATAACCACAACTCAGGCCCCACACAACAGGAGGAGAAATTTGATTGTGATGTCACTTTCATAATCTTGATAACAGCCATGAATGTTCAATCAATTTATCTGAGTTTTATAGGCCCCACATAACAGGAAGAGGAATTTAAATGTGATATCACACCCATAACCCTGACAATAGCCATGAATGTTCCACCAATTAATATGAGTGTTTTATAGGCTCCACACAACAGGGGGAGGAATTTGATAAAGTAGGTGATATGCCTGATAATCTTGATCTTGTGTTTCCCACCAAAAATTGCTTAAAAATTTGTATTTTTACGTTTGTGGACCTTTTTTCCGTAGGAATGTACCGTATCTCCCTTTATATATTGGTACTCAATGGGAAAAATGGCTTTAATTTACAAAAAAATTCGATTTACAGAAGGTTTTTCAGGAATGCATCCCTTTTGTAAATCGAAGCACCCCTGTACCAAAACATGTTACTGCTGTGTGAATATTTTCATGTGTTTGCCTTTTGTAATATCAGTAACAGAACAAAGTACTAAAAATACTTACAGTATTTGCATTCAATGTTTCAGGTAGCAAGAGTGTATGTCAACAGATTACTAGATATGAAGGTGTTGTATACGAAAGATGAAACAACATTGACAAAGTTTCAGGTAAGAAATTTTATTTTTAATGTATTATTTAAGAAATAATTTTTATTTTTCTCAATCCATCATCCCAGTCCCTTCTGGCCAAGTTTCAATATGTAGGTAGATATTCTAATGTGGTTTGTCCTTTGCAGAATGGGAAGCAAATTATAAATCAAATTTGCTCTCATTCTTAAAAGTTTTTATCACCATGTTTTTTGCTCTGTACATACCTAGCAGGTGAACTGCTGAGGCAGTATTTTTGGTTAGGCAACTACTGTACAAGAGAAATATTTAGAGAAGAGAAAAACTTTACTTTGTGTCTGTAGACTTAGAGAAGGTATTTGACTGGTTACCGCATGAGAAGGTGCACTGGGCAGTAAGAAAGTTATGGGTTAAGGAGTGCCTTGTTAGAGTGGTTATGGCATTGTATGAGGATTCATAAACCACTGTGAGAGTAAATGGTGAGGAAAGGGTGGAATTTGAGGTGAAAGTAGGGGTCCATCCGGAGTCTGTAGCCCCCCTTCTGTTTACCATGGTACAGTCCTAGAGGTACTATTATATAACTTTAAGACAATTATGTCTTGGGAGCTGTTTTATGTTTACAACTTAGTGCTGATAGCAGATAGATTGAAGAGACAGTGGAAATATTTAAGAAATGGAAGGATGGAATGGAGTCAGATGGTATAAGATAGTGAATGTAGCAAAAACAAAAGTAATGATTAGTGGCATGCATTAAGGACCCATAATGAAAAGTGGGAAAATTGTCTTGTGCTATCAATATGTTTTGGCAGAAACACGGGGTAATGTGCAGTGAGTGTAATTATGGGTACACAATGGCTATAGTAGTGTAAATGGCAGACAGCAGGATGTTGCTGACTTTAAGTGTTCTGCTTACATGTACTTGAAATGTACAGAAAAAGAAAAAAATAGAAACTTTGGTCATATAATTAAGGATGAGGGAATAATAAAAAAAATATTAATGGGCAAAGTTGAGGGTAGGGGGGCCATGGGAAGGCAGAGACTGGGATGGATGAATGAAATAAAAAATTGGGCCCTCAGAGAGATACAAAACTTTGGAGGATTGGCAAAAACAGCCTGAGAACGTTTAGAGTGGAGGACTGTGGTTACCAACCCTCAGATATGAGGACGGTACTCTGATTGATAAGCAGGTAATCATGTGACACTATCAAAGCTACAGAAATTCATCATTGGGGATATGCCCCAAAAATTTTTTGATGAGTTCTATTACCTGAGTGACATGAACAATGCTGGAGTTAGCTCAGTTGCAAGTCAGTAGTGAATGGAGGAAGTTGAGTGAGTTGCTAACTTTATTGACAGCAAAAGAACTTTCTCTTTGAGTGGAAGGAAAGATGTATGCAACTGGCATGAGAAGTTTGTTGTTGTATAGCAGTGAAACATGGGTATTTAAAGAGGATAACATGTGTAGACTTGAGTGAGCTGAAATGAGAACGGTGAGGTGGATGCATAATGTGACACTGAAAGATAGGAAATCCTGTTCAGAGCTAAAAGTGCAGTTGGGTATTGAGAGCATTGGTGTGATCTATTGTAGAGGTAAGTTGAGATATAGAGAGAATGGAGGAGACTAATTGGGTCAAAAGATGCATGAATTTTAATGTGGAGGGGATGAGAGCTAAGTAGGCCTAGAATGACATAGAGAGAGGTTGTAAGATATGCCCTCATAGACAAGAACTTGACAAGAGAGACAGCAAGAAATTGTGCAGTATGGAGAGCTGCAATCAGGTAATCATGGCTAACTTATGGAAAATAGTCATAAAATGATGATAGTATTTTTTTCTCATTTTTAAAATATTGAAATACTTTTCCTCTTTCATGTTGCTAATTATTGAAATTTCACAAAAAATTGCTGTGATTATCAAATTATCAATGATTCATTGCAAGAAGTGAGATACTTAAAGAGTTCTAAATAGATGGTAGAGTTGGGAGAACAGTATAGGAAACAAAGGAAAATAGTCATAGTTGGTAGAGATATTTTGAGCCAGATGATATCATAAAGAGAAGATTCAAGATCCGTTAGTCGAGCTATAGGTGTTGCAGTAGATGCATACACCTCCCTTAGAATGGAAAGAGATATAAAGGTTGTAGTTGGAGACTTGAAAAGGTTTGGGTGAAGCTGCTTTGGTCAGTTGAAGTTCAGATGATAGTAAGAGGTCGGGGGAAGAGGTTAATAAATGGTGCTCCACAGAAGGAAAATTGGATCTCAGGCCGCAAATTTTGGAAAAATAAAGTGTGAAAAAAGCCGATCCTCCAGCAACCGCGGTGACGTCAGTTGAGGCCCCAGTAGTTTGATGATGATCAGGTCGGCCCTGGGGTCAACAACCTTCCCGACCAGTGGGACCCACCTGAGAGGGCCCACTTCAATGTTATTGTCAACTACCATGACGTAGGTAGGAGTCTGAGAGAGAATGCTGTGATGCACAGCGTCCTGCGTGGTACTGTCATGTACACAAAACACAAGTTGTCTCGTGGAATCATGGCCCAAGATCTATGGTAAAATGTGACCACAAACCAGGAATAACCAAATCTCATGCCCGTGAATGATGAGCAGGTATACAATGATTGTAGCAGTGAATAATCAAATCCATGAAGGTTAAACCCACAAATATTGAGGGTTTATCTTCCCCAAATTTTTTGTTGAAAAATAACAATAAAACAGCTCACAGCTTGGGGGATGTATAATGAAGACTCCCTGTACTGTAATTTACATTCAGTAATGTGCCTCACAAGCTAAAGAAGACAACGTCTTCTGGCGAGTACAGTACAGTATATATATACAGTATATACAGTAGTAGTAGTATACATTATTTTGTTTATTTACAATATATTGTATGTGTACCGTGGTGCTCGCATAAATAAATTAAGCTCTGTGTCTTTCCATGCGAGATGCATAGTTTAGACTTTTGAAAAACTTTCCCCAGTACAGTACCCAGAAAATTCCTGGGATTTGTGATTTTTTCGGAGATGAGAAATTCATCGCAATGCCCAGAAGTCACTCATTCCCAGAAGAACTCTGCACCAATTGTTCCCAATACCTGGGATATCACAGTATCCTCCCCCATTCAGATATCCCAGTCTTTCTTTATTTTTCATTATGGTAATGAAATGGGGATACCAGTCCCATGTCTTCAGGGCTAATTCAACTGTGGTGAGGTCACTAAATCTCTATCCCTATTTATTCATATCATCAGCTAATGTTGAATGTAACTACAGTGGTCCCTCGTTTAACAACACAATTCGTTCTACAGAGTCGTTCGTTAACCGAAAATTTCGTTAACCGAATCCATTGTTTCAATGGGATATTGAGTAATTGGTTCCAGCTCACAGAAAAGTACATACAAAGTTAAAAAAAAAGAAATGCAGTAAAGTACAATTACTTTGAGGTGTGTATGTAGAAAGTTCCTGGTTGATGATGATGATGGGAATTAGAAGTGGGAGTGGAGGAGAAGGGAGAAGAGAAGGAATTGGGGATGGAGGAGAAATCACCTTTCAGGGGACCCATGCTTGATGCAGTAATTTCACCAATAAAATTTTAAGTTCACTACAGTAGGTGTAATTCAAGGTTATTTTATTTAAATCAACACTGCACTGCGCTATATATTATCAATATGTTAACTAAATTTCAGAATGACCAATAATATTAATGTAAAAATGCAAAAATATTCAAGACACCAACAAAATCGATGCTCACTCCACAGTAAACAAAGCCCAACTGACGCCTGGTGGGTGAGTCAAGCGACTGATGGGCGCACAAAACACTAGTTCCCTGTACTGCATATATTATCAATATGTTAACTAAATTTTTAAATGACTAATAATTTTAATATAAAAAATGCAAAAATATTAAAGAACACAACTTTCTTGATATTTACTCCACTGGAAACGAATGTAAACATAGAACAGATTATTGAATTGGTAGACTAGCCCATCAGCTGATCTGCTGATGCTCACAACAAAACGTGTTTTTCGTGAGGATTTTGTTAACCGAATTGAAGATCCTTATGGGAGGTAATTTGTTAACCGAAATTTCATTAATCGAACCGTTCGTTAACCGAGAGACCACTGTATATGAATTAAGGTCTTCTATCTCCCTTGAATTTTGTCTTATGTACTTTATTGGAATATTAATGTAATTCATATGTGATTTCCACATCACATTTGTATAGTATTAAAAATATACTTATCTTTTCATTCAGATTCTCCAGGCTCGAGAAGCTTTCCGCCAGTGTCCCCCAGGCAACTTATCACGGCAGAAATATGGTATTGTGGAAGGTCTCTTTGCACTCTGTATGACACTCTACCACTCATATGAACTTTTGATGCAGCATGGTGCGAGGTCATTTTATAAATTTCTGAAAGGTATTTCCATTGTTTATCTCTACTTCATTCCTACTTAATGTGGGTGATGTCAGCTTGTATAGAGAAGGAATAATGATTAAATATCTAAGATTTAAATTATATGTGTAAACAAATGAGAAAGAAGATCATTGCAAAACCAATCAAAGTTTTAGTGAAAGGGTTTCAATGAAAGGGAAACTGATAGAATTTACTGTGTTGATATTAGATGTTTGGAGATTATTTTAACAACCATTCCCAGGTAAGTGAGTTGGATCAGTTTTACCAATAAGTCTCTTCATCTTCCGTGACCATATTGTTGCAGAATTTAATCAAAACTACATGCTTTGGAACTTTATTCCCTCAAAAAATTCATGTGTATACAATTAAACTTACACTTTTCAAACACAGTTTCTTTCTGCTGTGTATAATCTCCTGCCATACTAGTAACATGCCTAAATCATTAAAACTCAAGTTAATGACAACTGACTACTCTCTTAAAATACTGTACGTGAAATTCTATATTAGGTACAGAATGTCTAAGAAGAGTGGCACTTCAGGAAATATTCTAAATCAAATACATATCATTAGCAGGACTTTCACTGTTTTTCACTTTAACAACTTGTGTATGGGTCCCCTCTCTGCTGAATAAAATCACCTGGTGTTAGCCAAATACAGTACAGTAAGTCCTCGTATAACGTCGGCCCGCTTAACGTTTCGGTACTACGTCTCTAATCTTTAGATACCAAAAATTCGTTCAACGTCCCGACGACTCAATATAACGTCGTTTTTGCGTCATCACCGACTAATTTTTAGCACATCACCCTCTCTCGGCGCGCTACGGTACATCTAACTTGCAGAATGTCACATCGTCCTCAAGTGACGCCAAGCCAGTCTCTGTTAGGCTTAAGTGTTTTTGCTATAAATACTGTACTCTAACCATTCGTAATGGCCTCCAAGCGCCCATCAAGTGCTACTGATGCTAGTGTTGTGAAGAAGCAACGCAAGACCATTAGCCTTGCTATGAAAATGGAGGAGAAACGCCAGTCAGAACGGGAGGAGGCACCCGCCGAGTCTCGGTGACTCACCACCCTCCTCCTCCTCTCCCGCCACCCTCCTCTGCTCTTCTACCCACCACACACTCGCTCCACCACCTCCCCCCATCAGTGAGTACAATACAAAATGATTTAGTTTTATATATACTGTATATACTATTTTCTATAAAAATTTCACTGAATTTCTGTATATGTAATGTATTTCATGGGGGTAAGGGAGGCTTAGGAATGCAACTCCCGTATTTTATCTATTTCTTAGGGGGAAAATTGATTCGCTTAACGTTGTTTCGTATATCGTCGTGTTTTCAGGAACTTAACCTCGAAGTTAAGCGAGGACTTACTGTTCACCCTCGATAACTCAGAATTTCATATAACTCAGCATGGATATGGTCTCGGAATGTATTACTATAACTCGGGGAAATCTGAGATATATAAAATTATCTGGGAAAATCTTGGCATATCTGACCACCTGCATCACCTACCATGCCTCTGTGTCACCTATCATGTATCTGTGTCATCTACTATGGTGCTTTATTCTTTGCCTGCAATGCTGGTAAGTGTTACTTTTTTACATTTAGTAATTTCATGTACACATACAGTATGTGGGTCGATAATTTTTTGTTGTATTTTTGTAAGAGGGGAGAATTGCCTTGATAAGTAAGAATTTGGGATAACTCGGCAAGGCCAGAGCCCCATATGTGCCGAGTTATCGAGGGATTACTGTACTGTACTGGTAAAATATTAAAAGTGACATCCATCTAGTGAAGGGGTTAATATCACACATTATTCATTGATTGGTTAATCTGGTTGATGGAACTATTAATGTACATTGCCTTTTTAATTAATTGTGGTTGATGAGAACTACTAATGCACATTGCCTTATTACTTAATTGAACAATAGTAATCTCTGCAATAAGAACATTTTATTTTGTGTCACTAGGTACACTAAATGGAGATAAGGGCTACAGTTATGCGAGGTCTGAACTCCTTCGCAATCAAGTCTTCCAGCAGCTCATGGATGAATTAGCAGAGAAGTTTGAACCAAAGATCAGTTTGTCCCAGCCTTCAAAACACAGCTCTCCTGGTACAAAGGTGTGTGGTGTATAAATAGTCAACATAACTGTATTATAATAAGTATACCTGGACCACCCTTTTAGCATGTTATAGTAGGTGACAGCATTTTGTTTCTCATAAAGGGTTCCAGAATTGGGTGAATTGTAGTTGTAGAGTCACACCATTACAGTATTACCTCTCTATATTGAACTTCTTTACGTATATGGATATTCGCTATACGGATATACCGAACCCCTCCTCAGATTTCAGTAGTACAATACCTCTTTTATTTCCGAACAAAAACAAATTCGCTGTTCTGTATACTGAACCCTCTACTGATCCCCTCCTCAAATATCTCAAATATTCAAATATAATACTGTAATACAATGCTCTAATGTGAATTAGAAATATAGAAAATATAATATAAAACTTTAAAACAAAAACAAGAAAAATAAAAGAGTTGAAAGGAATTATGTGTAGTCAAGTAGCTAGGTAAGGTGGTTGAGGGTGCAATGACTCAGCAAAAGTTCCCTCTGAGAGATTTGTCAGCCCGACCTCATTAAATTGACACTATGTAATTTCACCATAATCCCCACATTATTTATGTTCATTTGGTGCTGGGATAATAAAACATTATCATAAAATAATAAATTTTCACACAAGAAAAATTCACCATCTTAACCCCAGATGAGTTATTGTGTCATATTAAGAACAGCTGACCAGCCAGCCAGGGAAGGAGCTGTTTACGTAATATAGGACTACTTTTTGTATAATATGTGTTACTGTATTTTTATATATTACAGTATGTATAATGTTTAATGTATATTATATTATATTACAGTGACCCCTCCGTTAACGAACTCAATCCGTTCCAGAAGGTCGTTCGTTAACCGAAAAGTTCGTTAACCAAAACCATTGTTTCAATGGGTTTTTGGGTAATTGGTTCCAGCTCACCGAAAATTTCCTAAATTCAACAAAAATGGTAGAAAAGTTCACTTACTTTGAGGTGTGTATGTAGAAGGCTCCTGGATGATGATGATGATGATGGGATTTAGAATGGGGGTGGAGGAGAAGGAAAAAGAGAAGGCATTGGGGTGGAAGAGAAGTCACCCCATGGCGCCATTTCACCCATAAAATTTTAGCTCTCTTGGTGTAATTCAAGATTATTTTCTTTAAATCAACACTGCACTGCATTATATATTGTCAATATGTAAAATATATTTCAAAATGACCAATAATTTGCTTGGAAACAGAGAAAAAAAGCGTTTAGTTGAAGAGAGTCTCAAGCAAGATGTTACATCCAGTGAAAACAGAGAGAGACTAACTCCTGTTTGCTGTGTTAAGAGGCTGGATGCCGCGCATTAAACTAGTCACTTTACCTTCAGTTATGTTCAATAATTGTTAAAATGACTAAAAAATTGAATATTAAACTTTTAAAATTATTGAATAGTATAAACTTCTTGATATTTACTAAAATAGTAAGGAATTTAAGCCCTAGAACCGATTAATGTATTGGCGGACTGATACTAAAGCTGGTTGCCTGGTCAGTGCAAGCAAAAACATGTTGAGGTCGGTTCGTAAGAACTTCGTTAACCGAATTTTTTTTCGTTAACCGAATTGAAGATCCTTATGGAAGGCAGTTCGTTAATCGAAATTACGTTAACCGAGGTGTTCGTTAAATGAGGGGTCACTGTATATTATATTATTGGGTTACCAAACTATATTTTATATTACAATAAAATAAAGTATTGTGACAATTTATCTGTACCAAAAATACCTAACTTTTCATATACTGATATACTGAACAAAGTTTGGTATTAGATGAGTTTTTGGATTCATTTTATACCAAAAAACTCTACCGAATTGGCTGCTCCTGCTCTTCAATTATTTTGGTATAAAGAAGTAATACCTGTACTGTAATTTCTTGTATAAATTAGATATAATTATTTGGTGCCAGCTCTCCATGCTATGCATTCTCTTATAACCTTGTTTATTAGGTTCTTAATACTGAGGTCATTTCTCACAACCTCTTCCCATGTTAGTTTTGGCCTTGCCCCGTCTGTCCACCCCTTCATGGTTGGACTCTTGTATCTCTTGGCCCATTTGTTCTCCATTCTCTCCACATGCCCAGACCATCTCAAACTACCTTTATGTAAACTTCGTCATACTCTTAGCTCTAAACAGGGTTTCCTGTCTTTCAGTATTACTTTACACATCCAGCACAGCATTGCCATTTTGGCTCACACAAGCCTGCATATGTTATCATCTTTAACTGGCCATGTTTCACTGCTATAGCTACATCATATTTCTCAGGTCTGTTGCATACATCTTTCCTTGCCATCAGTAAAGGCAGCAACCCCCTAAACTACCTCCAGCCACTTCTAACTCTTGTAACTAAACTAGATTCAGCACCACCTTCAGCACTGATCATGTCACCCAGGTAACAAAACTTACCAAAAGTGTCCAGGGATATATCCCCAAAATTGAGTTCCTCCAGCCTTGCCAAGGACATACAGAATACTTAGGCCAGCAACTTCCTGTAGTCTGCCATTTACACCACTGCACCACTTCAGCACTGGTGTATCCACTTTTTACATGCACTGCACTTTATTGTGTTGCTGCCAACACCTTTCTTTACAGATTGCATATGACCATTTTCCAATTTCTGTAACAGTTTCCTTATCCATAGCACTAATTTATCATTTTATTTTTGTCACATTCATTCTCCAGCCCTTTGACTCCATTCCATCCTTCCATTTCTTAAAGTTCTCCACTACCTCTTTAATTCTATCTGCTACAAACACAAAATTGTCAGCATACAACAACTCCCAGGACAAACTAGTCCTTAAGTCCTGTGATAGTGCCTGAGGCATCATGATAAACAGAAGGGGGTTCAAGACAGACCTTTGATGGACCCTTCCTTTCACCTCAAATTCCTTGCTTTCCTCACCCTTAATTGTTACAGTGGATCTTGTACCCTCATCCAGTGGCATAACCATTCAAACATGACACTCCTTGACCGCAGACATTCTCTTTACCAACAAAAAGTAATAGAGGGGACAGAAGATAAAACTTAAATATCCAGTAAAAATGGAGGAATCCTAAGGTTTCAGAGATGAAACATTTAAGGTCATGAATATTGGAGAAAGAATTACAGTAGTGTATTTTACTAAAAGAAAGGGGCCACTGAAATACTGGAAGAAGAGAATGAATGAATGGAAGTTTAAATAATATATATTATGTGAAGTGATAATGGTTGGAAAACCTCTTGATAGCTTGATGCTCTCTCTCTAACATAGTGACTTAAGTGATGTACTCACTAGGCCTGGGTTGTAGAGCCAGGTAACCCTAAGCATTTTGGCTGGGTAGTATTATCTGATAGTGATATCTCCATTAGCCAGAACAATTGGTGCAGAGCACTTCCGGGAATGAGAGATTTCCGGGTTATGAGACAACCCCCTCAAAGCCGGAAAAAATCCCTCATCCCCGGAATTTTCCGAGTAACAGAAAAATGTTCTCAGAACTTCCAGAATGAGGCATTTTTTCATCTCTCAATGCCGGAAGAAAATCCCCCATCCCCGGAATTTTACAGGTAATGGAAAAATATTCCTCGAAGTTCCAGAAATTGCGCATTGGATCATCTCTCGAACCTGGAAAAATATCCCCTATACCTAGGTACCGGAAAATTTTTCTTGGAATTTCCAGAAAATGTGCCTGATTTTCATTTCTCAAACCAGGGTATAAACTCCCTTATACCCGGAATTTTCCGGGTACCTGGAAAATTTTCTCAGAATTTTCCAGAATGAAGTAGCAACCAGAAACATGATGATATAAGAGTATATTCTGAATCAGCTGAAAAGCAAACAGCAAATATTTAATATTTTTGGACTGGCTGCGCAAAATTGTGTAAATGGGGAAGTTGTTGTGGTTGTATCTTAAGTGATGTGAAGGGGTTCCCTCTACCCATTTTCAGTCCTTCCCCCAACCTAATCCTGACCCACTTAGTATGGAACCTCAGCTTCAGGCCTTCCTTATAATGTAATTAACTATTTATTTAGAATTTTGTGTGTATTTACAGTATGATGATGGTGACTATAATACAGTAAGTCCTCGCTTAACGTCGTCGTTCCGTTCCTGAAAACCGCGACGTTAACGGAAACAACGTTAATGAAATCAATTTTCCCCATAAGAAATAGATAAAATACAAGAGTTACGTTCCCCAGCCTCCCTTTGCCCCATAAAATACATTACATATACATAAATTCAATGGAATTTTTATAGAAAATAGTATATATTATACATCCAAAAAGATAAATAAGCTAAATCATTTTGTATTGTATTCACTGATGGGCGGATAGTACTCACTGTTGTGGGGGTTAGACCTAGCACAAGACCAATGTCCACCGCACATTCACCTTTCTCAAAATGGTTTAAAACCTCCATTTTTGTAGCAAGGCTAATAGTCTTATGTTGCTTCTTCACAACACTAGGATCACTTGCACTTAATGAGTGCTTGGAAGCCATTTCGAATGGTTACAGTATAGTATTTAGAACAAAAACGCTTAAACACACACAAACGCTGTGGAAGCCTAACAAAGACTGAGGATGCTGTTACGCTCTACGAGAGAGCGTTGCGCCCCAAGATGAGAGAGGGTGATGCGCTTACAAAGTAGTCCGTGACGACGTGATACCGAATCGGCGGGACGTTGTCCGAATCATGGGTATCCAAAGAGTAGCGACGTTATAATGAAACAACGTTGTCAGGGTCAAGGTTAAACGAGGACTTACTGTAATAGCAAGCAGATTTGCATTATTTCATTTTATTTTAATTAAGTATACTGTACTGTATTTCTTATTTGTCCAGATTGGCAGTCCTCACCCATCCAAGGCTAATAATGTTCATTTTTACGAGATAAGTCATCCTAAAATGGCTAAGTTACTATCCATTGTGATTGATCACCACAAGAAGTGTGCTGATGAAGAAAAGTCAACAAGAATTATGATTTTTTCTCAGGTAATATCTCTGAATTTTATTTTTAATTTATTTCTTAAAATTATATTTTTATAGAAAAGACTTACTGTATTACATTAAGAATAAATGTCTTGAGCTGGAATAGATGTGAGAGGTAGCTAGTTAAATGAGTGCTTTCAATGGGTTCCAGTGATAAAGTAAAATAATTATAACCTTAAAGTTGTGTTTAGCATATACCATAGTTGTACAGTGTGTGACTCAAAATAGTGTTTTGCTTTGATTTGGAGGTGCAGTTGATAGGAAGTTAATCTAAAAGAAGAGTTTGAAAATTCAGAAGGAAGCCCAGGTTTCAGGAGTACAGTATAAGTATTGTATAAGCTGATTGAATATGTTGCAAGCTTTCTAGTTGCTATTCTTATTATTATTATAATTATATACGTGACATCTTTTATCAAGTGAATGAATTAATTTTCTTCATTTTGTTTTCATTCTGTTGCATTTACACCCAATCCTGCATCCAGAATGTGCAAAAAAAAAAATTACCATGGTCAAACACATTAAGGAATAAACATTTCTTTGTACACCAATAAAAGTTAGCAGGATGAGCTGGAGGGAGTTATGCGGATTATTTTGCAACTTGTAGTTTCGGATAGATAAACGTAACTTTCTTCACTTTTTTTTTACTCAGTTACATGCACATTTTCACCCCATTTACAGTACAGAGAGAGTGTTATAGAGATCACAGAAATGCTGCAGTGTTATCACCCTCTTGTGAAAGCCATGAGCTTTCTTGGACAATCTTCTAAAGTTCGTGGTGAACGTAACATTTCACAGAAGGAGCAGTTGAAGGTAACAATACTTTTTTTTTTTTTTTATAATATAGTTTTTCTGAGTGGAGAAGAGCTATTCAGAGAATCATATGAAGTCTACATCAGGTTACATTGACCATGCTTATGCCATAAATTTAAAATGCAGTTAATCCTCTATTTACTCTGAGGTTGTGTTCTTAGGAAGCACGACGTTAGAAAGGGAATTGTTTTAGTTCATACTCTGCAGAGAATATACAATATTAAATAACAACTTAAAGAGATTAAGTTTTGTAGCAAGTTAAAACAAACAAAGATGATAATAATATGCTCAAAGAAAAATCTGAACACCTTGGGACCAAGCAAAGTGTGGATTCCTAAATTTTTCAAACTTTTGAACAGTATTGAACCCAGATTGTGGTTTTGCATAAAATATAGCTTTTAAATTGTAGTTTCTTGTAATAAATAAATAGATATACAAATGAATGTGAGGTTAGATAAATAAAATGCACAATATATTTTTTATTTACCCTTGTGATGGTAAATGGAAGCAAGTGGCTTGTTTAACTCCTCATTGTTTCTGATGAGATTGTCCTTCATAGGCCAGTGTTAGTACAGGAGGAAACTGGAGTACCTAGAGAAAATCTGCAATGTTTGGTAGGATCACTCTGGTCTCGCATATATCCCAGACCAGAATTGAACCCACGACTCAATAGTGAAAGATATGTATGCATTTACCTGATGTACCAATACTGTATATGGTAAGAGGTATTAGGTGTTTAGCAAGTTGCTGCTACATCTCCCTTGCACATAATTTGTTGGTGACCTTGTGTTCAACTGACATGTACATTACAGGTATTGTCATTTTTGATGATTTCTCATTTTTTTCATTCAAATTTTTTTCATTAAAAAATTCTCAAAACTTTTATTCAAAGTAAATCTCAGTGTTTGGCATCATTTCATGACTCCATTGCATTTTTTTTTTTTTGTATTGGTGTGGTGAGTAGTTGTGTGCATAATTGCTGTGTTGGTGTGAAGAGTGGCTGCATGCATGACATTGTAGTGAGTCAATGGAGATGTAGTTAACTATGTCACCATACTGTACTTGTTTGAGTTCTTTATTTTTATCTTCTGTTTAAGTTTTCTGTAAATACTTACAGTTTTTGAGGATAAGAAAATAGATTTTGTGGTATAATTTGATGAAGTTGTGAGGGCTCTGTGAAAATATGTTTATTCCCTGCAGGTGGTGAGTGACTTTAGAAGTGGAGAATTCAATACATTGGTTTCTACTTGTGTAGGAGAAGAAGGTGAGTGTTTACTTTATTTTTTTTTACCATGTATGCACACATAATAGGCCAACCATTTTCTACCTGATTTTGTTGAAATTGTATGTAACACAGTACATGTACTGTACAGTAGATTACAGGTATATACAATATGCCAAACCCTCTACTATACCCCTCCTCAAATATCTCAAATACTGTACTGTATTAAAATTTAATACTGTATTGTAATAATAATACAGTAATCCCATGTTTTTCGCGGGAATTACGTTCCTGAATTGCCCACGAAAAGCCAAAACCGCGAATACTCTTTTAGGAATCACTGTACCTGTGGCCACCAAACAGCTCAGGTCATGCACTTAACCATGCCATGCTTTCCACTCACGGCCCAGTGGTCACACTGATCACTGATGCACTGTACCGGCATTTACTAACATCATTATTTGAAATTAATCATATTGCAGTATAATAATGGAAAAACGTAAACACAGTTATATACCCAAAAAAATTATTTACGAGTAAATAAATTTTTTTTTATTTCGCTGAGGTCGGCAACACCTGCATTGCCAGCCTCTCCCTGCTGTCCCGGCATCTGCCCGCCCTCATGCAGTCACAGTAGCGTTCACAGTACGGTAGGCACGTGTGGACTGAGGCTTCTCGGAGCAGCGGGTGTCTGAGGTGGTAAAGGGTGACGTCTGTTTGCCGCACCACACGGGAATATCGAAAATGGCGCAATATGTAATTTTTTTTTAAGGATATTTTATATATATATCATTTTTAGTTAAAAAAAATGCGAAAAATACTGGATTACTGTAGTAAAATAATAATAACTTTACCCTGTTACGTAAAGGAAATCTTGGGTTTCGTTCTAACTGCGCCATGCTGTTTGTGCGCAGAGAAGCGTTTTCTTTTTCCAATTTAATGCTGTACTTTTGGCTTCTCAATAGCTTTGGCTTTCGTATAAGGTAAAAAAAAAAGAACTACATTATAAAACACTGACTATTTACTCCTAATGCAGAACGAAAATCCAAAAATGTTTTCCTCACTTACTAGGTGAAAATTTTTGGGGAGCTAAAACTGTGCACTATATTCCACTAGATGCAGAAAATTGTGAGGTTTCCAATGGTGCAATCGAATTGTTGCTATGCCTAATACTTTTGCTGTAAATTATAGTTTTTTGTATACATAACATTGGCAACAGGACACAGCTGACTGGTTACATGTGTTACGTTTTGGGTTGTGCACTTCATTCTGATTGACTGAAATCAAAATAAGCAACAATGGTGATGCATTCTTGATTGATTCCTTTAGTTTTCTTTGTTTGTTTTTATTATTTTTTTAATTTAGGTCATACTGGGACTCATTCTCCTATCTCACATATTATAGAAATCAACATAAATTATTTACCTTAACTCACACAAGATAAACTCATACAGATAGTGTATGATTTTTTGTTATATGTTACCAAAATATACTCTATATAACCCCCAAAAATATGATACTGTATTGTGACAATTTATCTGGACAAATATTTCGGATTTGCTTTATACCGAAAGCCCCCCCCCCCATACCAAATTTGCTGCTCAGCAATTACAGTATTTCGGTATAGAGAAGTAATACCTGTACTGTACTTTGAGGGTTTTGGACACAGTAGATAAACAAACTCACGGTTAGACTGTTGCAGAGTGATGATAGTAATGGTGGTACTGATGATAATTGTGAATTAGGGTGAGGTAGTAATGGTGGTGGGGACTGGTTACAGGTGATAGCATTGTAAGGGTTTTCAGGATTGGAACCCTTTCCTTTACAGTATTTACTTGATAAGATAAAGTGTTTTTTTACTGAAAGAAACAATAACATTTAGGTAAGTCATATTATCAGAAATCACCTTTCCTAGGACCTAAAAATACCCATAGCATTTAACCCTACTTATAACTTTAGGTCTGGAGGATTTTTGGTTTCGATTAGTGTTGTGTTGATTAGCATTGTAGTTTTCTGGAACGGAATCTTCACATTAACTGAGGACTGCCTTAGTGACTGCTTGATCCCTTTCCAAAATATTCTATTGCTTCTTTAAAATATCTTAGCTGTAATTATTCATCTTTACTCACGTGTTTTTAGGTCTGGATATCGGAGAAGTGGATTTAATTATATGTTATGATGCACCAAAATCTCCCATCCGTTTGGTGCAGAGAATGGGCCGAACAGGACGTAAGCGAGAAGGTCACATAGTGGTGCTGGTCACCAGGGGCAAAGAAGAGCAAGTAAGTAGTTCATAAATGCATCATTTATTTAAAAAGGTAAAACAAAAACTCTCAAGTCATTCATAACCCATAGGTCATTAACAACTGACATTTGAAGTTCTGCCAGCGAGAACACCAACTGACAGTTTGGTGTAATTATAGGGCACATATAGGAAACATAAGCCGAGTCTGGGAAGTTATTTAATCCTGTGCATATTATTGAAGAGTGATTTTTCTTTTTATTTTGGTAAACACTGTATGTTCTAATCACTTAGGTCACCAAGGTTTTAAAATCTTTAAGAAGAAATTTTACCCTTAGTGCTATTTGAATCATTGAACAAGATTTTTGTAGTTTGTTATAGTTCTGTGCTATGTAATTTGCATCTATTAACTCCCACAAATCGAGCTGCCTCTAACAAAGCTTTACACTCTTATGAGAATTAAGAAACCCATTATTTGCAACATAAAGTTATACATTTCAAATGTTTTCTAAGTGTTTTTATATCACTACCTTGCACATTGGACTACATCCTTGACTTATTCAACTTTGGATTGGATTTTCTTTCCTCTCTTCTGTTTACACTATGGGGATTCATGTTCATTCCATTCAGAGACTCTTTATATTATTCATTGTTTTTACAAAGGAATAGTACAAAGAGAGATAATAAAAAGTTTATTTGGCATATCTGTTTACCAAACTTCTCTTGCCAAAGATTGAAGAAATTTGAAGTAGGATCTCATGAAGTATTGGAGGTTATGTGACAGGAAAAGCATTCCGAGATAGGGAGTTCCAAAGAGTGATAGTCTGGAGCATAAATTAAATTTTTGTTGGTGGAGGTTCTGAATAATAGAATGATAAGAAAATCAATAACCACCAAATACCCTGGTCGGCTGATGAATGCATTTTGATGGATCTACAGGGGGTATAGAGTAGCACATGAAAACAATCACTATTATAATATGTGTATATAAGAAAAGGCATGAGATATCATTGTGAATGTACAGTGATAGACATTGTCTGGCTAGGTCAACCCTTTCACTACAGGGATCCCACTTAAATATTTTATTTGGCTAATACCTAACCATTTTATTCAGCACATAGGTGTTCATGTTGATTAAGCTAACAGATGACAACAGCATTCAACCAAAGTGCTCATGTGCCCTATGTAAGTTATTGTCTTCTGTTCATCAGTAAAGCAGGGCCTAAATCAGAACATAATTTAAACCTCACTGAAAGAGTTTTGGCTGATGAAAATTGCCTGTCACAGGAAGGTTTGAGGTAAAGGTGATGCCAAAAATCTCAATGGTTTGTGATTATATGATGTTTATGTTGTGTATATATATTTTTTTTTATTAAATTGTGCCATCTCATTCACATTACTGAATATTTTAGTAACATGTTGGATGTTCCCCAATTTTTGTAAAAAAAAAAATAGCTTTCTTATTTTTACTAATGGGTGTGTGACTTTACATATAGTAGTACAGTGATCTAAATGAAGTGTGTCTGCCTCAAGAATGTAGTTTCTCCCCAGTACAAAGCTCTGTGAGTGGGTGTTCTGCTTAGTGTCCTCACAGGTCAAACTCTTCCCTTGTGCCAAAAAATTAGGTATAATTTTTCAGTTCTTTGTTTTGAATAAAAAAGTTTTTAACTTGTCTTAATATTTCAGATGTACAATCAGAGTCAGTTTCAGAAGAAAAAAATTAATGAAGCCCTTACCGACAAGAACAAACTAATTCGGTATCTCAGCCCAGACAATGCTCGCATGGTGCCCAGAGGTTGGTTTTCACATTAGCTATATACAGTAAACTAAACCTCCAATACTTTTTGCATAAAAATTTGATCATAAAAACTCGAACTGTATTGAGTGTATACGGTATGCAGTAGTATTTTTCCATTTATTTATGTATCTTTATTTTTATTATGTACAAATGCCATTTAGAATGTCATGCCATTTAATGCTTACTTTGCTTTGGTAAATCATGAAAGAGAAGCAAAGTTTAGTGACAAGACTACACCATGTCATAGTATCAGGTAATCACATCTCTCTGTATGATGGTTGGTGAAACCATTTCAGACCCGGTCACTTTGCAGTTTGGAGTCCCACAAGGATCCGTTTTGGGACCACTTGTGTTTACAATATATACCAATAGTCTTGCATCTCTGCTGGATGATCATGGTGTTGCTTATCATTTCTATGCTGATGATACAGAGCTTTATGTGGTAATGATAGATGTTGAAGATATTGGGAGATAAGACAAGCCTTGATGTCTGATATTAAGATTTGGATGACTAGGAGAAAACTTTAGCTGAATGACGGCAAAACCAAGATTATCGTCATCTGAGGAAATAGGAAGGGATACAGCACAGATGATTTTGGCTCTTAAACTTTTGGGAAGTACAATTCAGTCCTGTTGATTCTGTTCGTAATCTTGGAGTGTACTTCGACTTAAAACTTAATTTAAAGAGCATATTCATTTAGTGGTTAAGAGTTCCAACTTTCATATGCAAAATCTATATTTTGTGCCTTTTTTTTTAGACAATGTGTTGTGACACTATTATATGCACTTATTTTGTCTTGGGTTGACTATTGTAACTCTTTATGAGTCTGCCTACCTAATTGTCTATGGAAGAAAGTTCAAACAGTGTTGAACAGGGTTGTCAGGCTTATTTTTGCTCTCTCACTGAGGACTCCCACTACCCCATTCTTAATCAAATTGCACTGGCTTCCAATTAAAGAAAGTATTGAATTAAACTCCTAAGTATTTGGCCAACCAACTAAATCCTCTGACCAGTTACGAAATGACTTTGCATAGCAGTGATTATCCCTCACACCTTAAGGAGCTTAAAGCAGTACAGGAATGTTCTTTTGCTGTCCAATCCTTTTCGTATACAGCAACCAGATTGTACAATCAGTTGCTTGCTTCCATGAAGCAGCTGACTTCTGTAGAGGCCTTTAAGAAATGACTTTAGACTTTTTTTTTAAACTTATGTCCTGAAGAGGGTACAGTGATGGATAATAACATGATTTAGGAAGTGTTATAACTTTATGCTGTACTAACTGTTAATGGAAAGTGGCTGTAAAGTGGTATTGATGATGATTTGCCATATTGGACATAACAATACACATTGATGTACTGTATACTGAAATTTGTTTGATTATTTTGCATCTGTATGCACAGATCTTAGTCCAGGTTGGTACACAATGTAAGAAAATAATCACATAGATATGGATACAAAATAGGTAAAGAAGGTAAACTGTAAGAAGGGCAATATTCCTGTAATATTCATCATTTAATATGCCTCCTCCTGTCCTGTATTTTTGTACAAAATGTGTTACAGTACATGATTCTATGGTTAATTTACAGGTATGACACCAGTCTGCATGAAGCTGCACATGCAGATGAAAGCTTGGAAAACTCAGACAGGCAAAGGTAGAAAGTCATCAGTGGGGTCTGGTAACTCAATTTCTGCAATGCTTCATAACTCCAGCTCATCCTCAAATATTAAGGGAGTAAGTGAGAACATAATGTGATAATGTGAAGCCTTTTTTAGCTATACTTGCACATTTAAGATTTGTCTTGATAAGAAACATGCTCTTTTCCAAGGCATTTACCTGTTGTCAATTCTGGAGAGCTCCTACTCCAGCCACATCATATAATTCTGTGTAGAAAAATTATATAATGTATACATGTATATGCTTTCTCTCTCTACTTTTCAGGAAGTATAGCCCAGGTAGTTTTATGTATACCCAATATTTAACACTCAGTATTTGATTAATACCAATTTCAACTGTGAAATTTCTTTTTAAATATTCTTGTTATGAAAATTTGCCACCATTGATAGATAATATGATATGAGCCAATAATATTGTATGGGTGTAAAGCACATGTACCTTGACTGCCACCCAAAACATAATGTTGAGTGTGGGTTATCAGGATGTAAAGCTTTGGAAACATGAAAACAGTATAAGAATGATCTGTGGAAGTGAGAGGAGAGAGTCTTACCCTATCCTTTTTATTATCTCCTCAGTCTTCTTTCTTTCTCTTACCATCCTCTATAGAATATTATCATTCAATAATGTTCTCTAAGTGATTTTATTTCTAGTTTTTGCATCCATCACTAATTTAAATTTTAATGGACAGTGGGATATCCCGCATAAAATGGACTTGAAAGTAAGGTCAATAAGGAGAAGTGATGTATAATAGAGCCAGAAAATTAAGAAGCAAATTTTGGATAAAACATTAATAGTTAATTTGTCTTTGCGCAGTGGCAGTATCGTAACCAATGAGGCTTATCTGAGGTGTGTTATTGTGTAAAGCTCAACTATCTGCTAATGCAATTGAGAAAAGTTTATCTTGCAATCAATCCTACTCATATTCTTCCAAGGAGGTAATAGGTGTTTGTGCATTTTTTCATTTATTTTTTCCCTAAAAGTTACTTTTAGTAAAAATCACCTAAATTTTGATCACACTTTCAACACCTTATATCTCTCAACAAAATAGCCTTCACAGTTTTTTCTGAAATGTATGAGGCTTATCTGTAATATTAGTGACCCTATCCTGGCTGAACAAACTAACTATGCCTTCTTTTGTTACATCAGCAAGTTCTTCATTGAAAGTATCTGGCTCTTGCTTAAACCAAAAGTTTCACAAAACCTCACCTTCACTGGATGTACTCCTTAAATTGTCAGTAAGGCATTAAATATATTTGTTCATAATTTTTTTTTTTTTTTTTTTTCATATTTAACTCTAATAACCCTTAATTATGGTTCCTTCTGAAGACTTTTTTTTTCACGATGTTCTCATCCATAAATGACAAATTGAAAAATGCTTAAACTTCATCTATTTTGTACATAAAACCACACTTATCATACTCATACAGTGGTCCCTCGATTAACGAACACAATTGGTTTCACAGAGTCGGTTGTTAACCAAAAATTTTTGTTAACTGAATCTATTATTTCAATGGGATATTGAGTAATTGGTTCCACTCACAGAAAAAGTTTACATGCAAAGTACTGTACTGTATACCGGTAATATAATTAACAAAACATTAAATGTAAGCTAAATACAGTACAGTACTGTAAAATAATAAATACAAAACAATCGAATACCCCAACAAACTCGATGTTCACTCCATTGTAAACAAAGTTAAACTGGGAAGTGTTGGTGGGTGATTCGATCAGCTGAAGGGCACACAAAAACTGTTCCCTCTAATATGTTAACTAAATTTTAGAATGACCAATAATGTTAATATAAAAAATGCAAAAATATTCAAGAGCACAACTTTCTTGATATTTACTCCATTGGAAACGAATGTAAACATAGAACCAATTCCTGTATTGGCGGACTAGCCGATCAACTGATCAGCTGATGTGCACAACAAAGCGTGTTTCTCGTAAGGCTTTCGTTAATCGAAGTTTAGTTCATTAATGGAACTGAAAATCCTTATGGGAGCTAATTCGTTAATTGAACCTTTCGTTAATCGAGGGACCACTGTACATGCCAGACACCATTATCATGCTAAATTGTGCTCATAAACATTAAATCATACTGTATACACATTTGTAGGGTAATAGCAGAATAGATTTTAGATATTTGGTATTTTAAGAACATACAGTACAGTATTTTATATACCTTTATGTACAGAAATTAGAAATCAAGTTACTAATCCATTCGTAGAAGAACTAAACATCTGTAAACAGGTACAACGCCTTATCTGCATCTCTAATAAAATATGAAAAAGTACTGTAATAACATATAATCATTTTGCAGAAGGATCATGTTAATGGTAGTTACCTCTCGCAAGAGGAGCTGGCATGGTGGAAGGAGAACCTTCAGGTGCCACTTAGTGATGTCAAAACCATACCAAGACCATCTTTAATGTACCTGAAAAAACAAGGTTAGTTCACCATAGTTGAGTCCTTTCTGTACAATATTTTCCAGAGAGGTCATTGGTATTCTTATTTTACATGTGTATGCTGCAGGATGGTCAGATCAAGAACAATCTCAGCTCTATACCTGAGGAACAATGACACGTGTTCAGGTATTTCTAAAAACAAAAGTTGTATAGATAAATATAACATATTTGCAAAATTACAGATTTAGAAGATTTTTACAATAGCAACTATAGAAATAAATAATACTAGCAGAAAAATGTGTAAATTTTAATAAGCTTTTTTGAACATTAATTGTTAGAGGACGGGTTTCTCTTTGCTGAATAAAATTGTCTGCCATTAACCAGAACAAAATACCTAAGTGTGCCGCTGCCTTTTAAAGAGTTAATATATTGGTAAAGTACTGCATGCTTAGAGAAGATGGGATAAATTGGTTATCAACTGAAGCCTTAGAATAATAATATATTAGTTGATATGAGATCAGAAGACACATGAAGGATGCAACAGTAATACTCCATGTGTTTGAAAAATGGCAATCTTCATAATTTTCTCATAGTGTACTTTACCTCCATAGGCAACTGAGATATTATGTTTTACTTTGGGTAGAATTTTATTAAGTTTGAAAATATTACTCGCACTTTTAAGTAATGTGAAAAAAGGGAATTTGCAACTGTAGGAGCTAAAATAGCAATTAAATCCTTATTACAGAACTGGAAGAGGACTCCAACAGTATGAGCCACATAGACTTGGGGACTTACCAGCCATGGCAGACCATGGCCCAGACCACACATGTGATTGGTCACTCTCCCCGTACACACCATTTTGTTAAGCTTGTTGAATTTATTAACCTTCAACAGCTTTTTGATGGTGATGATGATCCTTATGGCTTAGAGATGGCATCCTTCTTGGACATGGCTTACATTGAAGGTTAGTTTTTTAATTTTTTATTAGATTCCTGATAAATAGTTTTCATCTCATCTGAACTAGCTGCAGTTACTGTATGCTCATCTGTATAAACAATGTTTATTTTTATGTGTAACTTTACTTACATAGCATTCTACCCTGCAATAATCACCAGACTTCATGGCCATGTTGATTTAATACGATCTAATGGGGTTTTCCATTGTATATGTTGGCCTTTAACCACTTTCAATTTTTTCCACCCTTGCTCAATATACCGTACTCATGTTTCATAGATTTTGCTGTAGAATTATTTTAAAGTAAATAAAAGCTTTTCCACTGTTGTTGGACCAATCATTATATTGGACGTCAATAGCAATTTATCATTGCATTATCATTAAGACAAAATACACCAATAAAATTTTTATCCACCTTAGCCCCCTCCCTCCCCTACTTGTTGTGGAGAACTGTACTAGTATCAAGTTTCACCCTCTCTGAAAATTCACATAGAGAAAACTTTGTCTTGGCATCTGCATGTAGATTGTCATATTCCTTATAAATTATTATTTCATAACAAAAGGTAAAAAGCAGTTTAAACCTAATTGGAACCAAGTTAAAAGAAAAAGTTAACTTTAATATTTTAGCCATAACTAAAAACATTATGATATCCACAGTTTTTTCCCATTTCAAAATGCCTTACACAACCATCTTCACATCTAAACTAACGCTCATAGCCATTGGTTGGCTGCTGTAAGTTACACATTGTTAGCAAGGATTGGTTATGTATGGGTTTTAGAATGTACATGTACAGTCTCCTTCACTAGTACATTTATAGGGGCTCATCAGGTCTTGTGCAGTGTGGCAGCACTGTGTTTTTTTTTTACATTCAACCGCAATAAAAAAAAATGCTAAAAACACGGGATTACTGTATCTCAAAGATAGTGATTTGTGGAATGTTTATATGACAAGCCCTTGTAAACTCACTAGTGAAGGGGACTGTACATGTGCCAGTTTTGGTACCTGCACTCCATTACCTAAGATACCCAGAGAGATTAGAACACCTGCTGTTGCCTAGCTTATGCTATATGTGGGAAAGGGGTTACTTATTAGAAGTCTATAAGCACCTCAGAGAACATTATTCAGTTGAACATTCATACCTGGAACTAGTAGAGTGCCCAACCCACCCTACTTGAGGTTACAGCTTCATGGTGAAGAAACTTCAAGTTCAGACGATTGTTAAAGCAAACCTTTTGGAGTAAGAATAACCTACCAAAGAATGCTGTGATGGCACTGAGTCTGAACTCATTCAAGACCAGACTTAACCAACACTGGAGCCCGTGCATATCCAGTACTTGATAACTGTGTGTAACAGAGACAAGACTGACTGCCCAAGCAGCTAATAGGCTGATAAATGGCAAAAAGGATAAAGTAAAGTCCATTAAACTGTTCGCTAAACTAGGAATAGCAGCAAAGCACATAGGGAAAACTACAGGTTCAAACAACAGGGTTGTAAACACGAAGTCTTAGTCTGTTCTCCCTAATAATAATAATAATAATAATAATAATAATATAACCAGTTTGTTATAAATTGTTTCGAAGTTAAATGATTGACTTATTAATACCAAATTTCTATAAAAATAATGTGGTTCAGATTTAAACAATTTAATGAACAAAATGTGTGCCTAATTCGAACAAATTTCAAATTTCATACATCTGAATGAACAAAAATTGCTATGATAAAAAATTAAATTGATACACAGCATATCATAAATACAATAGCACATATTTTTGTGTACAAATTACAGCTCCCATACTCAAACCATCCTCTGGGTGATGCAATTCACTTCAGCCAAACAGCCACCCATCTAACTAAGGGATTTGTGGCTGCTGCCATGCTGCGCTGTGTATATATAACAATGGCAACCTGCCATCTCACAGGCCACCTCATCCCCAGTTTTCCCCCTTTCCAGTGAGTTAAGCTATCACTAAACCAAATTTTGACCTAATGTTAAGTGGGAAAGGTGTCAAAATTTTTATCGCTAAACCAATAAGTGAATTAATGCTAAGTGAGTGAACAAATATATCATGTACTGTCCCCTTCACTAGTGCATTTACAGGAGCTTGTCAGGTTTTGTGCAGTGTGGCAGCACTGTGCTTGTTTACATTCGACAGACAGAAACTCTCAATATTAAACATACTGTACTATGGAATCAAATTATAACAATATTAAAACAAATATGTCAATGTAATAATTTGTGGAATGTTTATGTGATGAACCCCTGTAAATGCACTAGTGACGGGGACTCTACCACATCATTCTTTAATCTAAATTGTATAAGACAGCCTAACTATAAGGACAATGATTCACTTGCTTCTTGTCTACATTTGTAGATTAATTATGTACAGTATAAAGCTAATGAATGGTTTTGTGCATTTTTTATCAGTTTACTTTTATGATTTTATTGATAAACCATATAATTTTTTCCCAGATGACAGTGTAAAGAAACCATCATTGTTCTCTTCAGTAGAAAAAGATCTGTGTATAGGTACTCAGCATACATTATCTCAGGAGAAAGATGATAAAGATAGAAAGAAAAGGGGGAGGAAGAAATGTTTGTCATCAAAAGAAAACAATGCAAAAAAATCTATTCATAGTTCCCTCATTGCAACAATGTTCAGTCAGAAGTCTCAGAGTAATATAGAGAAACAAAAATTGATTGACTGTCAAGATTTAGACAATTTTGATATTGGTAATGAAGTAATAATTGTGGAAGAATGTGAAGGAGAAACACATGAAGACAAGATGACAGATGTTGATAATCCTGTATGTAATGTGAGGGAAAGTACCTCTAAGGAGAATTTTGACCTTTCTGGAGATGTGTTTGAGTTTGTAGTTTTCCAGCCACTAAAACAGCAGTCCCCACTTCATATCCATACACCACCAGTGAAAGAGGATTTTTCTAAAGATGATCATGATAGTGAACCTGCTAGTCCATCAGACATCTTAACAGAGTATAAAGTATGGATGGAAAAGAGGAAAGGGGACATTATAAAGAACCTTCACAAGTCAAGCAAAAGAACTTTAGATTCATATACTCCAAATAAATCCATTAAACCTTTGACAAAAGGGAACTCAAAGAATTTTGAGTTTATGACTCTGATTGAAACAAATGACTCCTCAGATGAATTACCTGATCTTCTTGGAGGTCAAGAGAAGAATACCAATAAGAAGAACTCCACAGCAGAAATTATAATAGAGGCAACATCTCCAGTATTTGGAAATAAAGGGACTCTGATAGAAAGTATAGGTAAAAATAATAAAACTGTCATTGAAAATGAAAAAAGTAAGGGACAAAATATCCCTTCTCCAGATATTTTTGACAGAACTACAGCTTCAGCGAAGATAAATATTTCACCAGTATACAATTGTACTTATAGGAAGCCAGTTCGAACTAATTTGACTGTCTGCTCCTCAACTCCAAAAGACACTGCAAAGTGTCTTTTCAAAGTAGCAACCCCTGAATTGACTGCCATTGAACATTGTTCCCCACTGTCTAGAGAAACAGAAATTTCTTACACTCCTACAAAATTATTAACTGCTGCTCATGCAAGAAGACAGCAAGTAATCCAAAAGGATTCAGAGAACAGTGAACCTGCAGCAAGCAGTTCCTCTACAGGAGTTAGTTATAGAAGTAAAGTACGTACAAAATTAAGCAAATATATTGTATCTGAAAGCTCAATGTCAAGGGATGACATGGAGGCATCATCACCACAAAAAATTGCTTCTATTAATGTTAGCACTATAAAGCTGAAGAGCAAAGACAGTGGCACTGAAAACTGCAGTGTCTCAAATGAAATTACTAAAAGTATTGCAATAGAAAGTAAAAAGAGGTTTAATGATGACCCCTGTCTTAGCCTGGATGATGATCTCTTTATTGATATAGAAGAGAATAAATCTAGTAAAGTCGAGTTGCATGCTCCAAGTGAACCAACTGAAAAAAATGTAAAGTCACATAGAAGCAAATACCCCTCCCTTCTAAGTGTGACACAGATTATTGACCTTGTGAATGAATCTTCTGTTGTTGAACTAGAAAACACTGAAGATGAAACAGAACTTAAACTGCCTCCTCACACACTACATGATATTGTGGAATCGAAGGGAATGTCGTCCAAATCATTCATATCTAAACTAGATATAAACAACAAAAATAGTTACTGTAATAACAAAGATAATCCTACAGAAAAAAAATTAGAAAACAAGACTGTGAGAGACTTAAGGAAAGTAGATACCTTGAAAGATCTCACTTCACATACAAATAACACAAGAGCCATGCTTTCTCAAACTATGAAAGAGGTGAATACATCCAAAGAACTGGACTTTAGTCTGCTTGATAACATATTTTCTCATGAGGAAGACAAACCTAAGGGTGTAGAGAAACAAAAATCTACAGCTGAGGACAGTATTCATTTTGATTTATTAGGGATTGATGAATTTGACTTAATGTCAGAATCACTCCTTGGTGATATAGAATTAAATTTGCAAATGGAAGATCTTCAAGGACAGCAAATTTGTAGGAGAATGGGAAAGAATGTTAATAGCAAAGAAGGTTTAGATAAAAGAAGTATAGATATATCTTCAACTGGAAAAACTGATAATAGTTTAGGAACAATACCAAGACACCAAAAGGATTTAAATTTAACAAATGACAAATCTACTATAAGACTGAGTTCCATAGGTACAGTTTTTTCACCTACTCAGGAGGACACCCAAGCTTGGCAGAGGAGAAAAAGATACAATGTAGTGGAATCTGACAGTGAAGTTGCAGTAAGTGATGATTCTGAAAATTATGTCACTAGAAGGTTTGCTGTCTCTCCCATTCATAAGAATAGTACTATGGAGGGTAATAAATGGATATCAAGGAAGAAGAAAAAGAAATTAGAGGTGCAGAGGAACTTGGAAGATGATAATGACTTTCAAGAGGATTCAATTGCTGATTATCATAAGGCAGAACAGAACATAGAGAAGCCAGGGAAATTTAAAAAGGTAAATATTTAATATTAATGACTTCATCCATTTAAAACTATGATATAATACTAAACAAGTACAGTATTATATATTGAGTGATGTTGCAGAAATATAAGGACAGCATTTTTAGTACTGAATATATTGTTCTTTTTATTCCCTGTATTATCTCTGATGTATTCTGATGGATATAATAATTAATTTTAGATCACCTACTGTAAAATAGATAGGGAATGTAAATCACAACGTAAAACATCAGAAATTTGTGGATCAAATATTTTGATGAAACTTTAAGCACTGTGAATTAAATTGAATTAAAATGAGACAGATTAATCATTATCTTAAATATTAAACACCATCATAAACTCTTGCATAATGTGTACCTTCATTGTCTTGTTATGACCCATATTTACTGTTATTCATACCAAAATTTGCCTATCGTTAGTAAAATCTATACTGTATTCCTCGAAATGTCTGAAGTTATTCTTGATTATCTGTTCCTTGGATGAAAATATGTTATATTATTCCAAAATTCTTTACAGAAGAAAAATAATTTTATTGAAGATGAAGCAGAACTTTCAAAAGATGGTCAGGATGTTTCTAGTGATGAGAGTGAAGGTCATGAAGACGAATATGATAATAGCTTTGTTGATGACTGCACACAGATGACTCAGGATACAGCTATTGAGTAAGTTGTAATGCCATTATGAAAAACATTAAGGTATGCCACACCATTAATAATTTTAATCCAAGGAAACTTTAAAATGTCCAAAAAAAAAAAAAAAAGGTTTGGGAAGGTCTTATGTTAGCCATCACTGTTCTTAATGCAGTAACTTTTGTGTATGGTATTATGAACTGTATACAATCGCCTCGGGCTACAGAAGGTTTATATTCTTGAAAAAGTTGCCTGAAATGTGAAGTGATTTAATATTAATTCATTTTCCTATTTAACTCCATTATTTTTATGCTGTGGCTATTAAACCGTCACTGGTTGAATAGCCTGGTAGTCTATGCAGCTGGGACGGCTACAAAGACAGCCAGGATATTCAGCAGTGAACCTTAAACATGTTAGCAACTGTATATCTGTAACTTCTGTAACTAGAACTATGTAATTTTAAAAACAGCTTTTTCAGTAGTTTTAAGTTTATCTTTATTCTTTTCTTGATTAATACTCATTTTGGGAATTCCCCTTTTGAAAAAAATCTGGTTTTTAAATTACTTGCCTTTACAGTTTAGGTTTACACTCATGGTTAGGCCCAATACCTCAGCCTGGACAAATGTATGTGTGATTGATTTGATATTTCTGTGAGTTATATTGCAGTTTCTCATTTGAAAAGTCTTTGGTGGAGGGTGACAGTGGTGGTGGGTGATAGTGTGGTCTTGGGTGACGGTGGTGGAATTGTTGTGGTGGGTAACGATGGTGATGGTGATAGTGGGTGATGACGGTGATGGTGGTGAGCAACCGTGGTGGTGGTGAGCGACGATGGTGATGGTGTGGTGATGGTCTGATAGTGGGTGGTTATGGTGGTGGTGAGTGACTGGTGTGATGGAGGGTGAAGACTGTGGTGGTGGTGGTGTGTTTGTGGGTGCAATGGTAGTGGTGTGGTGGTGGTATGATGGTGGTATGATGGTAGATGATGGTCATTGTGGTGTGGTGGTGGTTTGATGGGGGGTGATGGTCATTGTGGTGTGGTGGTGGTATGATAATGGGTGATGGACTGGTGGTGGTATTGGTTTGAAGGTGGTGTGGTCGTTGGATGGTAGGTGACTGTGATAGTGGGTGATGGTGACAGTGGTATGCTGGTGGGTACCAGAAGATATCGTGAATAATCAAATCACGAACTAGAGTGTAATTGATTTAAATGAAAATAAACTGTTCCAAAACTGCTTTAATAAAAACTAAACATCATACATAGTGCATCAAAAAATACAGTAATACATAGATAGTGTACAAAACGAAGTTTTCCATTACATAAACAGCTCCTTTCCTTCTCATAATCATCCTGTGAGTTACACCAACACACCAACAGGCTGGCTGTAATTGTGTTAGAATGAACCAGGAATTTAATACCAAACAATAACTCATTTGGGGTTGAGTGGGATTTTTTCGGGAAACTTTATTACTTTACGATAAGGATTCATTAACCTGGTACCAGCTAAATAATATGGGAATTATGGTGAAATTGCATAATGTTGTATTAAGGAGGTTGCAGTGTCATAATCACTTGGGAAACAGGGGTGGGGAAGCTCAGTCCCCAACCCAGCTGCCCTGCCTCACACACACACAGTTCACTTCCCAATTTCCATTATTCTTATTTTGTAGTTTTATATTATATTTTCTGTACACTTAAGTCACACTAAAGCATTGAAGGAATATTTTTATTATAGTTTCTTCATTTCTAAGTCAAATTAGAGCATTGTACTGGAATGATATTTCCACAAATTTGTATGGCTTTATGTATATAAACAGTACAGCAGCCAGCACTTGTCCGCAGATTATGAATATTTGACAAAAAAAAAAATTAAAAAGAGATAGTAATAGAAGTACTGTACCCATGATTTTAAGAATGTGAATTTGTATTTTGCAAATTATCGCTACTTGACTGTATACAGTTTATCTTTCTCAGTTTCTCTGTGTTATGTGATGCCAGCAGGCACACATGAGAAAATTATTTTGCTCATTTATAAATACCATGGTGGATTAAGCATGCTTAGCTTGAGTAATAGCCACAATAACAAGGAACAGCTTGATAATAGTAACATTGCTTCCGTAACAATGCTTCCATAGTTTTTAAACGTTACTTAAATGTTTCACATACCGTAATTTAATTTCTGTGTCATATTCTGATTATATTAAAAGTTCTCATCTATAAAGAGAATGTAGCTCAATATTGATCAGTTTTTCATTATAAACTTCCAGCATGAAAGCAGTGTACCTACAGTCAGTTGTAAGTCCACTCAAGATGGCACTACCAAATCATCACCATCACCGCCCACAATTGTGTGATTCAGATGAAAGTTATCAAGACAATGTGGTGAGTCTTAATTATATATATATATATATATATATATTATATATATATATATATATATATATATATATATATATATATATATATATATATATATATATATATATATATATATATATATATATATATATATATATATATATATATATATATATATATATATATATATATATATTTATTGATAACAGATATATTCAAGACATTCAGCTGCCTCTGAAGATTGAATAAAGACTAAAGCTAAGGTCTGTTTCCCCCCGTGGATTTTATCAAGATTTATCTTATCCACGTTTTCATTGTGATCTACATTATATATATATATATATATATATATATATATATATATATATATATATATATATATATATATATATATATATATATATATATATATATATGATAGATAGATAGATAGATAGATAGATAGATAGATAGATAGATAGATAGATAGATAGATAGATAGATAGATAGATAGATAGATAGATAGATAGATAGATAGATAGATAGATAGATAGATTTTACCTGTCCTCTTTGAAGAACTGACTTTTGGTTCATTTATTGTTTGTTTTAATGGTGGAGTGTACTGTATTCTGTACTTGGGAATCTTTAGACAATGATGAAGAGGCACTAAAGAGGAAAGAATTTGATAGACACTAAAGAATAGAGAAGGTGGTAGACAGTAAGGAAAAAGAGAGTGGTAGATAATAAAGATTAATACTGGTAGATAATAAAGAATAAATGTAGTCAGCTAACAAAAGGAGAGAGCCTTCACGATGTCCTCTTGGGTAACACATAAGGTCCTCTATTGAAATTTTCTTGTTTCTATGAAGAGTCTTCCTGTAATAAAAGAGATAAAGCTCCAGTCATAATAATAATACTTGACTAGGGGAGAAAAGTAGATTTTATGCTTCTCATTTATGTTTTTTTTTTTATGCAGTGGGCTACTAACACAAATATAATTGTACTTTTTTACCAGAATTAATAGCTTTCTTGATTGCAGGATGGAGGAGACAGCTTTGTGGTTGACAACAACTTTGTGGAGTATGACACAGAATACATGGGAGATGACATGCTAGCAGAAGACCCAATCATAGCTCAAGTAATGAAATTTGCCTTTTGTCGTGGTTTTTATTTTGTGTACTCAGTTCCAAAAACTGTAGGAGTACGTTCCAGCTCCCATAGGATTAAATGTGATTTTGTTTTTGGCTCTTTCATATAAATTTTCAAGAAAGGATTGATAGGGTTGATTTGTGAGTTACTGATAGTGACAGTGTTGTTTTGGAATAATTAAACTTAAAATTAAATTTCTATTCCGATTATTAATGCTGTAGTATGTGCACACTTGCATTAATGGGTTGATGTCTTATTCATTCATAAATCCATTCATCTTACAAGCCAATTTCTTCCCAGTTACAAACTTATTAATTCACTCATCAACTCACCCACCTTACATGCTAATTTTAACTTGCAAAAGTAAAGTTCTCAGGTCTAGTTTTGACCAATGTATATTTTTAATTCTTCCACCTTAATGCAAGGCTGAGCTGTCATGTATGTTTATTGATTTAATAGTATTTTTAACATAAGTGGTTTCAAAATGCTGCTTTTGTCATTTTTTACACAAAACTTAAAAATCAATGTAGATTAGCATTCTCTCTCTGACATCACCATATATCACCATGCATTATCAGAGGTTACCAATAAGACCAGTAGAAACTACTGGTATAAACCCTTATATTGTACTGTATTTAGTAGTGTTCTGCATTATGAAATAGGGTCTTAACTGTATACATTGCATGTTTGAAATGGAAATGAATGGCAACTTGATTTTTGGGAGATCTACAGGCATCTTGTTACTTTGAATTTATGAAGATTCTTGATAAATATAGGCTGAAAAATTTGATGTGTAATTTCTAAAACATGTCTTGATAAACTTTTCTGATTCCCAAATCTCTTTTTACAAATTGACAAGTAATTAATTGGTAATATTCTGTATACAGTAATTGCTTATACATTAGTATTAAAGAAAGAAATATACAGTAATATTGAATTTTCTTAACACAGGCTCATCATGATGTTGAAACCAAGAAAACAAAGGAATCCAAGGCAGAAAATAAAAGCAAAAGAAAGAGGATAATTATAAATGACTCATCAAGTGAAGACGAAATCGTTATAGAAAACAAGAAAACTAAAACTAGTACTCATCAAAGTAATATTCTTGGAGAGATATCAGCAAAAAACAAAATCACTGGTGTTGTAAGACCTTCAGATGTCCCCCAAATTATACAATGTAAGGATTATCAAAAGTCACAAATACCAAAAGAAATAAGTTCAAATAAACATGAGTTATCAAAATTCTCCAAATTACTGGAAAATGAGAAGTTATTAGACAGTGGTAGCCATGTCCTGAGTTTATCCTTGAATGATAGTGTTAGTCATTACAAAACTCAACTTCCTGTGGCAGACTGTGCTGCTGCCAAAGTTGCACCCTTGAGAACAGAATCTTTTAGTAATCAAATGTCAACACCACACATTTCTGAAAAAAGTGGAAGTAGCTTAAGACTCAATAATAACAGGTTAAAATCTGCACAGGTTCAGTTGGATTTTTCACTTGATGATGATCCAAGGGATCTTAGTATTCAATACAGTGATCTTGAAAAGGGTGATAAAGAAAAACAAGTTGAAGTTTCACAAGCAATATGTCACAACTCTGCTCAAGCTTCAGGTACAAAGACAGTATCTGTAGCTTCCACTCCTGCCTCAGAGGCTGTTTCAGTAAAGCCATATAATATCAATGTTGGTGAGACCCATCACCATTGGCCACATCCAGCAAACAATAAACCAAGTAATTCTTCATCCTTACTGATTAAACAAGTAAGTGAATTTTATTGTTTTGTTCTAAAATATTATCTGTTATTGCTATCAAAGTGAATTATCTTATTGGAGCATTTGCCTTAGATTTTTATGCAGAGGTAGAATGTTATGTACAGTGTCATATATGATAAACAAGTGGCCTTTACCTGGTGTACAATTCATCATAAATAATATAACATCTTCAGTAATAGAAAAAAATACAAAACTGCAAATAACTTTTACTGTAATTTAATCTGAATATAAAAGAATAAACTGTATCAGCAGGTATCACTTCCCCGGCTCCTTCATACCCTCTCTCCCTCCCCTGACATTTAGGCTAATGAAAATTATCAACAAGTGAGAAACCATTTATTATAATGAGAATTATATTTTTATTATTATTTTCTCTTTATAATAATGGCGACTGAAACTTTAAAGGGCTGGGCATATGAGAAATGCAGAGAATCATTTATTCACAATCACCATCATTTAAAGAAATAATACTGTACTTGTACATTAATTGTCAACATTAGTGACCTTTATGTAGTTTCACTAATTTTTATTATTTTGATTTACTCATCTCTAACTAGCAGTGTATAACAGCATATTACTGTTTCCCCAGATGGCACCAGTGGTCTTAGTGGACTCAAGTGAGATAAATAGTGGAGGAAATATTGTGTCAAAGCTGAGACTTAACCATGGAGCCAGGACTGCCATTGTTCAACTAGAACATTCACATTATGTTGTTTCAATGCGAATGGCTGTGATTCGGTTGCTCTATTCAGGTAACTTATGTTTATTTCACTTTGATATCAGTGTTATTAGTATCATCTATGAGGCAGCAATGTGTGTGAATGATAGAAGATCACTACACCAAGTAATTTTCTGGGTATGATTTAATAGTGACATGTGATGTTAGGTTGTGTGGAGGGACAGGGTGGGTATTTGTGGCCCTGTTGTGGGAGGGGAAAACCAGCACATATATGTAAAAACAGTAAGACTGATTGATTGGCAGTGAATAAAGGAGGAGTTTGTGTGTGTAATGTATTCATTCTTTTTTCTATTCACCTTACATTAAAGCGGATGGAGGCATGAAAGAGTGAAAAAACAACATCATAACTGTTTTTATATTTTATTAAATGATAGTAACATGAAACAACTTTAACACACTGCTGTCTCTGTCAGGTCACTTATGTATATCAGTATGGTATTTATCCCTCTATGTCACATATTGTCAACCCCAATTGTTCTCTAAATACTTGTTCTACATGTGGTAACCATCATCCTTTCATTAATAGCTGACCATTCTAGTCAAATTCAGCCTCTTGTTTACACATACCTGTTTGTACTTGTTAACCTCCTTACAGAAAATTTATAATTTTCCAGTGAAATTTTTTCTCAAACATTGTGTTGAGAATAATAGAATGATAATACAGTCGGCCCTTAACATACGCGGGTTTATAATACACGGATTTGCAAATACGCGGATTGCCACGCCAGAGGAATATTCTGTACATTGAAGTAATTGAAGTACATTCAAATCGCGCACGGCACCGAACACGGGACACCGCCCGCTCCCGCAACCTCACACACACACACGCATAGCTCTCCCTCACTCAGTCAGTCTCGCTGTAACCACGCTTGTGTTGACATCAGCATTGTAGTTGCAAAAATATTACATTTCCGTGAATGTATTATATCAAGCACAGTATGAATAGAATATCACTAATATAAGAGTATTTTAACCGAAAACTACTAAAAAAACGAGTAACATATCTTGAACATCGGAAGGCTAGGTAAAGTCTTTTGTTTTCATGTAGTTTATCCTAATTTACATTGAAATACATTACGTTTCAGCAAAACTACTACAGTATTTATTTCTCAGAATATGGAAATGTAATATTTTGCTGAAATGACGTATGTATTACAGTGGAAAGTGACGAAAGCAATGACTCGCTTTCTTTCGTTCAAAAGATGTTACCGTAATCGCTTTTCGAATGGTTTTCAGTTAAGAAACTGTTGAATTACAATAATATTCTATCCTAATTCACTTGTGATGCAACAGTTTTTTTAACTGAAAACCATTCGAAAAGCGATTACGGTAACATCTTTTGAACGAAAGAAAGCGAAAGTCATTGTTTTCGTCACTTTCCACTATAATACATACGTCATTTTAGCAAAAATATTACATTTCCGTGAATGTAGTATATCAAGCACAGTATGAATATAATATCATTGTAATATAACAGTATTTTAACCGAAAACTATTAAAAAAACGAGTAACATCTCTTGAACATTGGAAGATTAGGTAAAGTCTTTTGTTTTCGTCATGTATTTTATCCTATTTTACATTGAAATACATCACGTTTCAGCAAAACTACTATTTATTTCTGAGAATATATTCATTCAGGCACAGTTTAGGTAAAATATACATGTGCTGTAACATTTTTTTAATTGAAAACTATTCAAAAAACACGTACCCTCTAGTCCTGTTCAAGGAGAAGACTGGGAGGAGCTGTTTGGTGCTTAAGACGATGACAAGGAAAATGATTTTGATGGATTTTAATGAAAATATTCAGAAAGACCCTGGCGCTGTCAAGGAAAGTGGCTGCTGAAGGCTTCCGGGACATGGCAGAGGACGAGATTAGGGAGCTAATTGAAGCGCACGACACTGAGCTGACCGAGAAGGATCTACAGGAGTTAGTAGACTCAGGCAAGGAAGAGGAAGCGAAAGGGAAAGAGGATGATAGGAAGAGCACCAAGAAATAACGTTGGAGAAGTTGGGGGAGATGACCAGGAATATTGAGGCACTGAAAAACCTGGCCTATAGTATGGACCCCTCCATGGTGCGTGCCCTGAAATTCATGCGAGGGATGGATGACGTTTTCGCTCCATACAAAAACATCATGGAAGAAATGAAAGAAAGAGACGACAACTCCCCATCACCATGTTCTTTGATCACCGAAGGAGAGATTTAACACCATCAATCACTGGCGGCAGTGAGGAAGCAGCTGAATCCACTGTCGCCCCCACTTCACCACCCGTTATGGAATTGAGTGACGATGAGCCCGATGACCCCCGTCCTGTCGCCGAGGATAGGTACTGTACAGTAAAGTGAAATTTTTATCTTTTTTTTTAATAGCTTTTCTTGCCATGTTTACCGTATTGTTTGTAAAAATGCACAGCACAGCACAGTTCAGTACTGTACATAGGAAGTGGAGGTGCAGTTATTCACAAAACATTTGTGTTTTTTGTCGGCAGTAGTGACGGGGAGGAGGCAGAGGGGGTGGAGGAGGCAGAGGAGGTGGAGGAGAGGAGGGAGCGGAGGGAGCGAGTTGGGAGGAGTGGTGACCTTGGACGCGGGAGCAGGGATGAGTGGAGATGCCAGCCAGTACATTACGGGTGTATTAATTGTTTTTATAGCTATTTTTGCATTTTAATATTAAATATTGTACATTACGTTTCAACAAAACTACCATTTATTTCTGAGAACATGGAAATGTAATATGTTTGCTGAAATGATGTACGTATTACAGTGGAAAGTGGGATAAAATTGAGACGAAAGCAATGACTTTCTCTTACTTTCGTTCAAAAGATGTTACCGTAATCGCTTTTCGAATGGTTTTCAGTTGTGGGATTATAAGGCTAATGATAGGATAGAATATTATTGTAATACAGTACGAGTACAACAGTTTTTTAACTGAAAACCATTCGAAAAGCGATTACGGTAAAATCTTTTGAATAACGAAAGAAAGTGAAAGTCATTGTTTTCGTCTTTCCACTGTAATATGTACGTCATTCCAGCAAAAATATTATATTTCCATATTTATTTCTGAGAATACCTATATTCATTCAGTCACAGTTAAGGTAAAATATACTTGTGATGTAATATTTTAATGAAAATACCAGGTATTTAGAAATACTGTATCGTAGTTTTCTTTTGTTTCAAATTTAATTAACAAAGATTGATGTTTCAAATGTAATGAAAAAAAATTTATGTACAGTATCTATAAATAAACTTTAAAAAATTAATACTTTATGTTTTACATCGTCCTGTGCATCCATGCATTTGGCTACTTAGGCTTGCTATGATGACGCAAGAGATCTGCCCTAGCAATTGTACCGACACTCACAGCTGGTGGTGCGTCGTTTCCATTGTTTACTGGTAGTTACTGGTAAATATTTTTCAACCTAACGAAACTATTACCTGTTTAGAGGTCGACCACCAATTTTTTGCCAAATAATTTGGTCTTAAAAACTTGAACTACACACAGGTATATACGGTAAATAAGGACATGGGGGGACCAGGTTTTTTTTTTGGGGGGGGGCAGCACATATACGCGGATTTTTAACATCCACGGGTATCTCTGTTACGTAACCCCCGCGTATGTTAAGGGCCGACTGTACAGTAGTTTTTAATCCTTTGCTTATGCAGTAATGTGCACTGTTCCTGATTCTTACAAGGCTGAGAAAGACCAAAGATAATATTTTAATGAGGCAAGTGTCTTTAAAAAAAATAATAGCCATAAAGGTATATTAAAGGGGGAATAGTGTACAGTACATAGAAATTCACAGCTATTGGTGTATCTTAACAAAACTGGGAGAGTACCTGTTTTGTGTTAATAAATTATTTTCAAGTTATGAACAATTTGCTTATGCATTTTTGCATGCTATTTTCAGTATTTAGCAGTAGCCAGGAAAAAGTAAAATTGGTACAAAGGGTTCAAGGAATGCTGGACTTATATGATCAACCTGTAATCATTGTGGAGATGGATCACGTTAAACCTGGGGAATTCTCCCGCCTGACAAAGAATCGTTCCAAATACCTGAACACAATTATATGTGCTTGTGCACAAGTCACACAACTTAAGGTCCTCTACTCTAGTGGTCAAGGTGAGTGTTGTTGCAATAATTGATATTTGGACAATGTGATTTGATAAAAATGTTAATGCCATATTACTGTACAGTATTCAGTTTAAGTCTTGTTTGCCCACAATAGGTTCTTTCATGCATAAACTTCCTTAGATGTTTGGCTTACTATTAGTTGTGCTTAAGGATATTTAGGAAAAAAAATTTTAGTTCATAAATTATCTATTGCTTGTAACAGGAGAAACTTTTTTTTTTTTTTTTACATAATAAGGGAGGCCTATGTACCTTAAGTTCCTGTACACACTTTGGGGTGGAGAAGTGCAGAAACAGAACAAGACAAAATTATTTAGAAGTAAGGCAATTAAATAAGACAGATGGTAAAAAAAATAAGCCATTTAAAGATTCACTTAGAGGTGAAGAATATTTTATATCAAATACAGTGTGCCCAAAAAAGATTGATCCCATTTGTGTAATTAAAGGCAGTTTTATACAAAAATTTGAGCCCAGCCTTGGGTATTGTATCCTTAGAATTACAGTATAGTGGAATTCAGTACACAAAATTATGAATAACCTTGAATGTTTCCTTCTTTAGCAAACAAAATTTATGATTGTATAAATACAATAATTTATTTGCATATACTGTACAGGTATTGTACATGTATGTAGTTTTTGTTCACTTAACATTACCTACTCCTTATTCTTTAACTCTAATGTTTTACTTTTTCTGTCCCTTTTATGCTGTGGCTCATTTTTTGCACTTAACATGCACTTTGGACACATGATAGAAATGTTGCAAAGAGATATTGGGGATAAAATGCTTGGCAACAGTGCTTCTCCACGGACCCTCCAACCTCCACACATTGACCACACAGCCCCATGGATGTAAACTTGTTGATATGTTAAAGTCTTATGATAATTATTTCTTTTATATCTTTTTACTCATTCTGTATTTAGGATTGTGTCTGCATGGAACTAAGTAAAAGAAGAAATGAAGAAAATTACGTGTCTTCCCAAAATTACGAGTTGAAAAGTACTTTTTGCCTTATGATAAATGTTTTCTTCATTTCTTTATGATATTTTATAACATTGAGTGTGTATGTCTAGCATTTTCTCTCTAATACTAAAGCGAGTGATGAATGGTAATTAATCTTCTTGTCTAATAGATAACCTCTGACATCTGACCTATGCCCTTCTGCCTTGACTAAGTAAACAGTAAAGAACAGGCCCCTGACCTGTGACTTGATTTTTACCTTCAGTCCTACTCACTCTCTTGCCCACGACTCATGTGTGGCTCAGGAAGCTTGCTACACATAAGTTTCCTATTTTATTAACACCCACAGCTCATAGCGTTAATTACGGTGATATCATAACTATTTGCGCACTAGTTTATCTTCTTAATAAATGGAGAAAAGACCATTCTGGTTTGATAACTTAACCCATAAACATTTATTTATGATAATTCCAAGGAACCTGGCAGACTCACTTTAACAGACATTCAACAGTGATTGCCACAGGTAAAGGGAAGGTATCAATTGCAGCTAACACTGCTCACATCATGTTCACAACAACAGAGGCAAAGCAGTTTCCCAGTCACAAAAAACATAGTAACATTACATTGTCATCATTAGTGATGTCCTCTCACTGTAAGGTTAAAAAAAAAGGTGATAAGTAACAACACTGATACTGACCGATAATCATTGAGCTACACGATCGCAGCCATGTGCAATCACCATGGAGCAAAGCTTGGTACTATAGTGCACCAGGTGCCCACATGGTGGCGTGCAGGTAGATCGCAGCTAACAAGTAAACTAAGAGATGTGTTCCATATTCTGCATTGACCAGATGATGACCATCATTCATGCAGATTGTTTACATCATAAATAGGTGGGAGTGGTCTTAATACATCACCATCGTTAAAGCGGAATATCGTAGATAAGGAGAGTATAAATTGGAGACACCTACATGATATTTTCTTTATTCGTATGATACACTATCACATTGAAATGACTTTTCCGCAAATTCTGTGGTTACATAACAATGGCATTAGCGCTCAGTCGTTTGAGATGTGACCAACGTATTTTGGCATGGTAGAAACTTAACACTTGTAAGGCACTTTTATTACTTAATATGGTTATTTTTACATTATATTATATGCTTTTAACACTTTATGCATCATATTTGGGTACACACAGATTTAGTATAAAACAGTGGATGATACAGGCAACATTTATGTGAAACAATTGACATATAATGAAAATTTCTTCCTATATTCGTTAGTGACATATATGTGAAATGACATATATCGGTACAACATATAGTGAGGACCCCCTGGATTTATTTCAACTACATGCCTTATATCTGTATTTAATTTTCTTTGTTTCCTATTCTCCTGCCTCTTGCATGCAGACTCTGTGCTCCACACCCATGTAATAATGTTGACAAGATAATTCTTCAGTACATCACCATCTTTGCCTCCTATAGTACAGTATTGTTCTTCCTTTCCATACATTCCTCAGTACATCTGTCATTTTCTTTCCCTTGGCTAACCCTACACTAATATTTCTCTTAAATGGTACTACCTGTATACTTATGCTCTAATAAACTCTGTATTAATATGTTTTATATGTTTAAAATTTCAGTGTATACAATGTACTTATGTATTTCAATTATAGTGCAAATCTTTTTATCCATACTCCTTGGGACAAATTATGCTTTGGATACCTGGGCTTGTCTACAAAAACATGCAATAATTATAGTTAGGCCAAAATTTGGTTCAGCAATAGCTTGACTCACTGGCAAGAGGAAAAAACTGAGGCTGAGGTGAAGGTGAGATGGCATGTTGCTATTGTTACATGTAATGAGATTATAAAAGTTGTGGAATAATCATTGCAATACAGTACTGTACTCTAATGTGGCATAAAAATAAGCAACTATATTCTAATATAAAACTATAAAATAAGAAACATGAAGAGCATGTGTGTGTGTGTGTGTGTGTGTGTGTGTGTGTGTGTGTGTGTGTGTGTATGGGAAGTGAACGTATGTGTGGAGGCAGTGGGCTGTAACTGTGTTGCCAAATCGCCATTCTCCACTCATCCAGCCTTATCTCCCTCTCCCCTATGTGATGACACATACACACGCACACACACACACACGCACACACACGCACACGCACACACACACCACCGAAGGGTCAAGACGTACCTGGCGCTCCTCTCGGAGCAGCCAGGTCAACTGTTAAGTTGGCCCATACCAACCCCCTCCCCTGAACCCTCCTCCCCACCGGAATATCAACAAGTTCACGCCAGAAGTTACTATTTCATTTAGGAAAGGAATGGAACCAGTGTTAAACAGAGGTGAACAGTGGTGAACAGTGCTTAAGTCAGTGAGAACAACTCAACAGTAACAGTGGTACCCAAGTTGACCTTCACACAGTGAGGTCCCAGGTACCCAGTGATAACGGCCCGACCCAACAACCAGCGATGTGTTAATCCGTCTACGATAGGAAGGCCTGGGACCACACCTCACTCATAGAACACCGTCTGTGAGGGAACTACTACACCACGTGAGGCCCCTCATAACACCATCTGTGAGGGAATTACTACACCACGTGAGGCCCCTCATAACACCATCTGTGAGGGAATTACTACACCACGTGAGGCCCCTCATAACACCATCTGTGAGGGAATTACTACACCACGTGAGGCCCCTCTAACACCATCTGTGAGGGAATTACTACACCACGTGAGGCCCCTCATAACACCACTGTGAGGAGTGGAATTACTACACCAATCTGTGAGGGAATTACTACACCACGAGGCCCCTCATAACACCATCTGTGAGGAACTACACCACGTGAGGTCCCTCCTAACACCATCTGGGAGGGAGTTACTACACTACGTGTTTGCTGTTCAACACCTACATTAATCTGTATGTTCACTGTATGTTCCTTCACCTTTCTCTAATGAAGGCTTTTGTTAAACCACCAATGTATGTAATAAGTCATTTATGCCCATTGTATATTTTCAGCCTTCGGGCTGCAGAACTTTTTCAATAAACCGTTAATTATTATTATTATTACACACACACACACACACACACACACACACACACACACACACACACCTACCTCAGATTCAGCTGGTTGACTGCCCGGCTGATGGCTGATCTGTGTCGCGTCGCCCAGAGGATGGTTTGAGTGTGGAAGGAGCAATTTTTGTACATATAATATGTACTATTATAGTTTTTGATATGCTGTGTATCAATTTTATTGTCTATCATGATATGAAATGACAGCCTAACACCTTCCACCATCCTATAAGCCCAACATGCTTGTAACCAGAGTGGTTACAGTGCCACTGGTGACAGACATGTGAACGATTGACTTCAGGACCAAAGGGAACAAAATTGTCCAGATAACTGGAAGATTTGGATAGTTGGAATTTGGATAAAATTAATTGCACTGTACTGTATTTGGTAATATATATGATGCATTTACAGTAATCAGAATCTGTAATAAATGGTACTCATATATGTTGGTAAATAAGGTGGTGCTATTGTTAGTGTTGGTTTTGAAATACTGTATTTGATTTTTCATATGACTTGTAAAAACTATACTTAATTGTCTGTCTTACTTTGAGCCTAAGACAGACCAATGGTTAATAAAACATATATGTTTTTAATTTTCTTAGTTTAGAAAAAGGATTATGATTGTAAGTTAGAATTGTGTCAACAGAGCAGACAGCCATCCTGTTGTCACAGTTGCTAGAACAAGAACAAACAAAGGGATACAACATTCCTGTCCTCCCAGAACGTATAACACAGATGGAACAGGTGAGTGTCCACGCATCATGTTTATATCTGGCATTTATAGCCTAGGCTTAGTTGAGGCAGCTTAAGGACAGAATACAGTCTATGAGACTAAAAAACCAGTATCATGACCCATGATGTGTGTGACTGGTGCTTAATTAAAACATGCCTAAAATATATAAATAATGCAGAGAACTTTCCCAAACTAGTTGATTACTGCAACCACAGGCATTCAAGCCCCACAGTCATCATGGGTCAACTACAGCACAGCAAACCAGAATCTCTCACTTTATATTACAGCTTTATCAAGAATTCCCATTAGAATACATAAACATTATAGGTGTCTGATAACACACAGCAATCTAGATTTTTTTTTTTTCACATAGCACAAGTACTTCACGAACACATCTATCATGCTAAGAGAGGTGCCCCTGTATCTACTCGATTAAGTTCATGTTCTCAAGGTCCTTTAAACTTATTTCATAAGACTTTCTTTACACCATTTAGTGAAATTGATATGTTTGCCATATGGTCAGTCCCAAAGGTGTGCAAAGCAAAGAGGTTCTGCTGTTTCTTCCAAAGGAATCAGCATAACCAGTTTGGTGTAGTGTAAAAGAAAAATTAAGTGCAGTACAGTATACTTAAGATTAAATTTACTCATAGAATTAAAATGTAAACCTCCCTTTTTCTAGATGGTGAATTTCTACCGATCATTGCCCCACATAAGTTATACTTCTGCTCTGTGTTTGGCCCAGAACTTCAGAACTGTTGCAGACTTTGTTAACAGGTGAGTTTTAAGAGATGGATAAAGTAGGTATATTTTTAGTATATGCCCTTAAGCCAGGTGGTTGTCATTATTGTGCATTTTTTACTGCCAGTTTTAGCTTGCCTGTCTGATCACATTACAAAAAGCATTACCGTAGGGCAAATCTATAAATCTGTTATCGATAAATTGATCACCCTTCCCACCAGTGATGGAAATGGGTTTTAAGAACTAGGTACATGTTTGGGAAAAGGAGTAAACACACACACACACGAACTGATCACTATAAGAACAGCCCAGTCCCAACCATTGTAAGAATTATCAATAACTTGTAATCAACCAGTGTATTCACTCCCAGTCAATCTTACTTTTTGCACTGTCACCACTGTATGTTGAAATGCCCTGTAGTTTGATCTTCTCCCCACCTAGTTATTATATATCATATTTGTATCACTTATGTTACTTGTATATTATTTGTAAATCAAGAGACCCATTCCCCAATTATGTAACTGTATATTTTCAGCCTTCTGGCTGCCATGTTCTTTCAATAAACCGTTAATTATTATTATTACACACACACACACACACACACACACACACACACACACACACACAAAGAGAGAGAGAGAGAGAGAGAGAGAGAGATGGCTGTCACATCCGCATTTGCGGAGCAAACGCCAAGTTTTCACATCCACATCTAGAAGATGCAGATTTGTAAAGTTTGCAATTTATTTTATTTTATTATAATATAACTATATAATATATAAATATTTTATCACACACACAAACACACAATATCTTCATTCGAGTTTGGGACATAGAGGAGCTACAGGAGTTGAGAAGGAGGTTTATGGAAAAGTTGGGCCTCAACTTCATGATAGAAAACAGCAGTGATGGTGCCGTTCCTTTTCTGAATTTCATATTAAAACAAAACAGCAATCACTTAGTCACTGCTATCTATGTCGAAGCCACCAATCCTGAACACTATCTAAACAGTAAGAGTGAGTGCCCCCAGCCGTATAGTGACTCCACCATGAACACCTAGGAGAGGAGGGACCTATCCCACTGCTCGTCATGGATCTCCACTATTCAAGAACCAGACTGGGTTGCTCAGGCCTTGGTTAATAATGGTTACTCAAACAGGGAAGTCTATGCTTATACAGTTCAAGCAAGAGTTTAGGCAACTCTAGCAGTGTTTGTCAAGAAGCCTAAATTAGTTACAAAAGCTAATGACTAGTACTTTTTTCAGCCCCTCATACTTTGTTCTCTTTGCATTAGATCTTGAAGCATTACTGCTTGCTCTTCCAAAATTGCTCCCAAATAGCTCTATAACTTTTAGTAATGAGAGGAAGGTGTTGGTAAATGAGGAAAAAGAGGGTAGGGTAAGGAGAAAGCAGAGACTATTAAGAAGTACAGAGATAGAGGATTTGAGGCAGTTTAAGGGGAAGGAAGAAGATACAGAGGTTTCTATCCTTGGAGAGTTTTCACAGGATATGAGGTACTGTAGATATAAATACTTAAGTGTGCTATATGATATGTTTGATAGTAATTATTTATCTTATTATATATTCTGTTGGTTTTGCCAGCTCAGCAGAAGTTGTACAAGACAAGGGCCGTATTTCCATCCAGAGAGCAACAGCCATCAAACTGTACCTAAGCAGAGGTTTTAGACCAGACATGTTGCCTCCCCAGTAATTCTGAGTCTTATTATGTGACTTCCAGTTAATTTATTGGGCTGCTTCTACATTGTTAATTAACTATGGTGTTATATTTACATGATTCTGTGATATGGCATTTTATTGTCTATTGTAATTATTAAAGAAATGTGACATCAGATATACAAGTACATTAGCTAATATGAGATATCATATTTGATATAAAACAAGTATGATCAAGAGGTACAAGCATAACTGTGTATGACATTCACATTCTTTTACAAATTATGCAATGCATGCTTAGGAATTTTATACAGTAGACCCTCAGTGTATCATGAGTAGGACTGAGAATTACCGTGAAATAGCGAATTGAGATATCTTTCTATGTATATTAGTAGGAAATATAAGGTACAGGATTGGGGCCAAAAAAAGTACTGGCCAGACCCACCACTAAAATACTAACTGTATTTTGACGACAAACCAACTCATGACACCTCACGAGCAGACATTACTGCTCATACCCCATGACGGCCTCACTTCCCCGGAAACTGAAGCAAAACAAATAGAAAATATTGAATGCTTTTCCAAGAAACATTAAAAACCATAATTGCAGAAACATTTTGATACTACAGTGGTCCCTCAGTTAACGAACGGTTTGGTTAATGAATTACCTTCCATAAGAATCCTCAATTCGGTTAATGAACAAAAATTCGATAAACGAAATCCTTACGAAAATCACGTTTTGTTGTAAGCATCAGCTGATCAGCTGATGGGCTACTCTGCCAATTCAGTAATCTGTTGTATGTTTACATTCGTTTCCAGTGGAGTAAATGTCAAGAAAGTTGTGCTCTTTAATATTTTTGCATGTTTTATATTAAAATTATTAGTAATTTTAATATTTATTTAACATATTGATAATATATGCAATACAGGAAACTAGTTTGTTGTGCGCCCATCAGATGCATGAGTCGGTCTTAAGGCGTCAGTTGGGCTTTGAAAACAGTGGAGAGAGCATCTATTTTGTTGGTGTCTTGAATATTTTTGCATTTTTACATTAATATTATTGGTCAATCTGAACTTTAGTTAACATATTGATAATATGTAGCGCAGTGCAGTGTTGATTTAAAGAAAATAATTACGCCTAGTGAACTTAAAATTTTATTGGTGAAATTACTGCATCAAGCATGGGTCCCCTGAAACGTGATTTCTCCTCCATTCCCACTTCCTTCTCTTCTCCCTTCTCCTCCACCCCCACTTCTAATTCCCATCATCATCATCAACCAGGAACCTTCTACATACACACCTCAAAGTAAGTGTGCTTTACTGTATTTTTTTTTTTTTACTTTGCATGTACTTTTTGGTGAGCTGGAACCAATTACCCAATATCCCTTTGAAACAATGGATTCGGTTAACGAACGACCTTCTGGAATTCATTAACCAAGGGACCACTGTATTGAATGCTTCATTAAGAAATGAAACATTAAAAATAGTGTTTGATGGTCATACTTGTACACTATGCTATTTTAGTGCTGCACTCAAAATTTGTTTTTTGTAATTTGTTCTTGAATATTTAATCTAAGAACACTTAATTTACTCACCTAGAGAAAAGGGTATGAATGATGAGGTGATCTTCCTCTGCTTCTGCTCATGAGTCTTCTTATTTAGCAGTCATCTACTTTCAATGTCAGAATCATCTTCATAAAAAACAAAAATGGTGGTATCATCAATTTTATCCTGATACTCCTTTAGTTTGGGAATTGTCCAGTCCCTCATTTTAGACTGGGGCTCCTGCTCTCTCTCCTTTTCTTTCTATTGTTTTGTAAGTTCCACCAGTTCAACGATTTCTTCAAAAATTAATGGTATGAAGAGACAGCATAGATTTTCATAGCAAGTGTGGCTGGCCTTGACTGAGATACCCATGCTGCCATCTAGTGAGATGCAGGGAAACTTTACTTGTTTGCACGTTGTTGGCTGATGAACCCGTGATCCATATGAACATTTTAAATTTTTCTGGGCTTACACTGCAAAATAATGGAGTTAGACCATGTAATAAATAAAATTGGGAGTAATTTAGGGTGTTACAAAATAAAGAAAACAAAGTATCGAACTGCGAAATAATGAGGGTCTACTTTATAAAACGAACATTGGAAAATTTCTATTCTTATTTTATTTTAATCTCAAGTCATTTTGCACTTTGACATACATCTTTGTCAAAGATGTTCATAAAATGTTAGAGTGATAGGGGCTCCTCTACTTACAAAGGAGTTACATTCTTGAGGCTTGTTTGTAAGTTCAACTTTACTCCTGTAGATACTGAACATACTGTACTGTAAAAATAATAAATTAAAGGATGTACTTTACAGCTTAATTTAATAATAAATAATGTAATGTACAGCCTTTAGCAGTATGTATCTTAATATATAAATAGCTTATATTAATTTTGTAGTTTTAAACAGTAAATTGTCATTGGTTTGTTGGTACTGTATCTCAGAAAGTTCATTCGTCATATGTTCATAAGTAGAGGAACAACCTGTACTGTACCCATTATACTTGTTTCATACAATATTTCTTAGGTGTGCCTCTGTTGGATGCTAGAAACATTCAGACATTTCACTTACATCCAGTTATGTCCAGTTACATGGCTTTTCCCTCGTTTCCTAAGCAGTATCTTCCACATGCAGCTATCCTGGTTTTCTCATTTGCATTTTTAGTGTATATGTGTATTTTTAATTGTCAAAAGGCCAAGGTTGAGTTCAGGGCAAAAGGTGCCTAGGGCAAGGGTTCATTTTAGGGGCCCTTTTCATATTCTATCCACATGATCTAATTAGCCCATAGTCCTCAAAATATTACATTCACACTCGGCTCTTAATGAAAATAAATAATGGAGTTTAGAGAGACTGAGAAAAAGCCTGCCCTGCCTACTTGTTCATTACAATCTGGGAGCTCCCAGACCAATATTATCAATAAGTCGTTATTCAGTCTGTCTAGATTTGATGAAGTTTTAACCTCCAGGATATTTACTTAAAAAAAAAGGTATATATTATTGATGCTTACTGTATGTATTTTTATTTTTAACATCTGGGGGTACTTCAACAGCTGCCCAGTTTCCCCTACCTTTGATTCAGCCCTGCAAATGGTGTAGCCAAGTTGTGATAATAAGGATGAGGAATGTATATTAAACTTATTACTTGTGACTAGTAGTGATAGTAACTAACTGCCACCTGATATACAGTAGTACCCCAATTTATGCGGTCAATTGAACCCGCGAAGGCCCCCGTAAAACGGGAAACGCGTAAATGGAACAAGAGATCATATGGGAGTAATTGAAATAGAGACTGGGCCGACCCCCAAACTTCACTTTTTCCCGACACAATGCGTATGTTGTAGTAACATCTTAACTTTATGATGGTATGCACACACACATAATATCGAAGAGAAATATCAATAAGAGAATAATATACTGTACCAGGTAAAAGAAAAATCAAGGTTTAACACTTACGTCGGGTTACGTTAGGTTAGAAAAAATCAAGGTTTAACACTTACGTAAGGTTAGGTTATGTTTTAAAAAATCAAGGTTTAACACACCTAAGGTTAGGTTATGTTAGGAAAAATCAAGGTTAGGTTTAACACTTACGTTAGTAGAAGAGATGGGTCGGCGTACGGGAATGGCGGCTGGTTTGCAGGCAGAGGGCAAACTACTGGCCCTCAGGTGAGTCACCATCACTGTCCTCCACATTTGTCAGGGCCTCCCTGACAAATCACTCAAAGTCACCATCCTGTCTCTGTCACTATCACTGGCTTGGGCTGGCTGTGGTGGGTTGCGGGCGAAGAACTCAGTAATGCTTTGTTGACGGCTAGTGTTGATGTTGTCATGATACGCCTTGATGTACGGCTCCATAGTCTGCAACAGCTGGGTAGTGAAGACTTCATACAGGTTATCGTTAGGGTCGTCGGAAACGAGGAGCTTCAGTTTCTCTGCACACTCGATGGCACCTCTAACATTACCATGCGTTAACTTGTGTTCTTCTCAGGATGACACACCACCTGCCTCTTCACTGACATGATCGTCTTCTAACATCTCGTCGGCAGTCACTTCAGGATCCCTGATCACCTCCAGGATGTCTTCGTTGGTGGTCTTGGAGAAGCCTGCAGCTGTAACACTCTGCGCAGCTTCTCTGGCAAGGTCCACTGCTACTGCAACAGTCTGAACCTCACCAGTCACAGGTTGACTCTGCCTCCCACCTGGGATACCTTGCAACACATGTCTCCATGCGAGACGAACCGTTGCTACAGACAGCTGATCTCATGCCTCCACCAAGAAGTCCACAGCTTTCTTGACGTTAAATTTCCTCCAAAAGTGTTTGACGAGAACTTCTTGCTCTGCCAACTGTTGTTCCTCGTCGCTCTTGCTATCGATGTCACCCAGGTTACGCAACTCATCCTTGGTGTTGGTACAGTCGTTGAGGAGCTTAAACTTCTTTGCAGAGTATGCAGCTTTCACATTGCAGATTCATTCTTGGTCCATGGGCTGGATTAATGACGTAGTGTTGGGAGGAAGGAAGACCACTTTTATGTTGGTGTGACGATCCAACCATAGGGGCGAGTGTCCTGGTGCGTTGTCAGGGAGCAATAAAATTTTGAATGGAACATTCTGTTGCTCACAGAATTTCTTCACGTCGGGAACGAAACAGTCATCAAACCAGGAGAGGGACAGAGCAGAGAACATCCACGCCTTACGTGCGGTCAGCCAGTGGACATTTAGCTTGGTCATGTCCATGTTCTTGTTGGCGTGTGGCTTGCGGGCTGTGTGGATCACCGATAACTTGAGTTTACAGGAACCGGAGGCATTGGTGGTAAAGAGGATGGTGATGCACTACTTCTGCAACTTCCGGCCCCGACACTTGCTGGCAGACTGGACAACGAAGGTCTTGGAAGGTAGCTTTTTCCAAAACAGACCGGATTCGTCCATGTTGAACACCTGGTCATCAGTGTACTGTCCTTCCTCCATAATTTCAAGTAAGAACGGAGGAAAATCCCTAGCCGCAACACGGTCAGCGCTCGCTTCTTCACCACCAATGTTAATGTTGGTGATGTTGTTCCTCTTCTTAAACCTGTGCAGCCACCCAGAGGAAGCATTGAAGGGTTTGGGCTCTGCAATTCCCATCTTATGTGACACTGCTGCATATAGTTCACGTGCGTACTCCTGAACTGACCGCGTGTCCACCGCCATGTTCCGTCTTGCCTGACGAATTAAGTAACACACAAGTAAATTTTCTGTCTTGAGAAGCACCTTGTTCTGGCAATACTTGATCATTGAAGCACCTGCAGACTTTGTGATGTTCATGTGATCTTTTTTCTTGGCTGCATCCTTCTTTATCTTCCGTATCGTAGATTCGTTCACGCCATGCTGGCGCGCCAAATCAAGTTGTCTTGTTCCTTTCTCCATCTCTTGAATAATCTTGTACTTCACATCGTAGCTTAGGGCACGTCGTTTCTTCTTTGGCTTTGGGTGGCTGGGTCCAGGTAATGCAAGGTTTTTCTGTGGTGGTGGTGGTCCAGCAGCAGCCATTCTTACGGAACAATAGATACCGGGATACACTGTGTGGCCGGGAGGGATGTAACTGACGCGGCTAGGTCAATCGCCTTCTACCCGCCAGCGGGAAGGCACGTCATATTACATTAAACTAATCACAGCTAGCGGCGGAGGGAGGTAAGGATGCGTGGCCCAATTACAGTCCGA